GCATGTATCTGGGCAAGTCAAGACTCTGAGGTGGACTATGTCAGGCAATGGACTGTGAAGGAATTTCCTCAACCTTACAGCAACAAAATAAACAGCATCTCATGCTTAAGGCAATGGCCTAGTGGTTAAATCCTCACCTTACAAATGCCTGGATCCCATATGGACACCTGTTCGTGTCCCAGATTCTCCACTTCCCTTCCAGCTCCCTGTCTGTGGCCTGGGAAAGCAGTAGAGGATGACCCAAAGCTTTGGGACCCTGCACCCAAGGGGAGACCTCCTGGCTCCAGATAAACTCAGCTCCAGCCATTGTGGCTGCTTGGGGAGTGAGCCAGCAGACAGGTCTTCCTGTCTGTCTCTCCTTCTCTCTGTAAATCTGCCATTCCAATAAGAAATAGATAAATCTTTTTTAAAAAAATTAAAGACTCAGGTCCACTCTGTATTTCCTCCTATCTATATATGTATTGACTTTGCAATAACAATAAATACATCTTTAAAATAAATAAATTAAAAAGATAAAAGCTCAGTGAAATAAGTCAAGCCCAAAAGAACAAATGTCACGTGTTCTCTCTGATGTGAGGTAACTTTCATATAAATTACAAGATAAATGTGACTTTGTGACTTTTAATCCTGTTTTTGCTATATCTCATGGTTTTTGATTTTTTTTTTGTTTTGGATAGTTTTATTTTAATTTTTCTTTCTTTAAACATTTTTTTCCTTATTAATTTCATCACTGACTCATAGGTCACATAGCAGCATCATTTTCTTCAAGAAGATGTTTGATTTTCATCTCTTCAGCAACATACTGGCCATTCAGTAGCATGTTATTTTACTTCATGTTGTTGTAAAGTTCAATTTTTTTTCTTCCTGTTTTTGATTTTGTCTTATGGATTTTCACTTAAGGATACTTAGAGTAACTGTGTAATAGGAACTGTCATGTCCAGATGTGAAGATACAATGCAGTATGCATCTCCACTTCCAAATCAAAGCTGGACTCCCAATGAAACTGTTAAATATAGCTTTTCAATAGGATACTGGAGTCTCTGCCATTGTTCATGCCTACAATTTCAGGATACACTTAAATAACAGAATGATGGACTTGGGACCATTTATGAAGGACTGTACTGTTGCAATGATATAGGGGAAATCAAGTGAGGGATGGGAACTAGGAGAGGGGAAAATGTAAATCCTAGAGCCTATGGAGCTGCATCATAAAATAATTAAATAAACAGAATTTTTAAAAATATTTATTTGTTTTTATTGGAAAGTTAGATATACAGAGAGGAGGAGAGACAGAGAGGAAGATCTTCCATCCGGTGATTCACTCCCCAAACGGCCACAATGGCTAGAGTTGAGCCAGTCCAAAGCCAGGAGCCAGGAGCCTCTTCTTGGTCTCCCACGCAGGTGCAGGGTCCCAAGGCCTTGGGCTGTCCTCGACTGCTTTCCCAGGCCACAAGCAGGGAGCTGGATGGGAAGTAGGGCTGCCAGGTTTAGAACTGGCGCCCATAGAGGATCCTGGTACATGCAAGGCAAGGACTTTAGCATCTGGGTCACAGCGACAGGTCCAAAAAATATAATTTTTTAAAAAGAAATCAACAGTAACTCAGAACTATCAAAACCACTTCAGCAGTACCCTCAGAACATGCTCCACATCAGGGACATTAAGGTGACATTGGTGACTGCCCCACACCCTCGGGTACTGATGCGGTGAGGATGTTGAGAGCAACCCTCTCCTCTCCCTGTCTTTCCCAGACTCCCCCAGATACAGCAAGAATAGACAGGAAGATTGAAAGAGTTGTCGCGTCCACTTTCCCCCATTCCTTGATCCTTCCCACCTTAATCAGTGCTCCATATAGGCATGCATCCTTCTCAACTCTGTAAATATCATAAAAAATAAATCCATTCTGAAAAAAAAAGAAAAAGATAAGTCGTAAACTGAACACTTCCAGGCATATCCGAATCCTCCTACCCCTGCCTGTAACCAGGGCTCCCCCAAATCCATGTAGACCCCTGGAGAGGAAGGGACCCAGGGGAGGGCAGGTGGAAGAGCAGAGAGGAAAGGCTACTTAAGCACAGAGCCGCCAGGTCACTGCCATCCTCGTCCTCCTCACCCCTGGGGGGTGCAGGATCCCACTCACCCTCCAGCCGGCTGGCACCTAGCAGCTCCCAGGGAGCGCCCAGGCACACCCAGCTCCTTGCACCACGCCCACCTGCCTTGGGCCGGGAATGAGTTCATCTCCGGGACGCTAGGGGCGGTCACCTCCCCAGTGTCCGGCCCCTCCTCCATCCCGCGGTCTGTGAACGGCTTCGTGGTGCCCACGGAGGAAGCCTTGCCTCTGGCAGCGTCTTCTAAACCCCCTGCACCGGGTCGGGGCTGGACTAAGAAGATGAGACAGAAAGAAGACTGGCGGTGGACCGAGCTGGGCTTCCATACAGCCTGCTAAGCCCCAGAGGCATGGGGTCGGCGAGGGAGGGTCGCCCTGGAGGGGCAGGTCGTGGCAGGAGGCGCTGCACGGGCTCAGCTCTTGCGGGGCCTGAGTCAGAGGCCGGGCAGGCGAACAGGGCGGGCCCGCTCTCACATGTTCCCGGGAGGAGGACGGCTGCAGGAATGTTCCCTCCGCCCAGGCCTGCGCCCTACCCACCGCGACATCCTGGCTCCTGCCCTGGTAGACACCGCTGCTCTGCTCAAGCTTGGGTGGTGGGAGGTGCCCAGAGCTTTGTGGAGCAGGTTCAGCCAGGGGCTTTTGCAGGTGGCCCTGGATGGGAGGTGGAGAATCCTAAAGCACCAGCCCTCTCACCGCAGCCTATGGGAGTGGGGCCAGGAATGTACCACGACTCACTAACCTAACTGTGCAAGCAGACCTTAAACTTGGTGGTGCCCACATGGGGTGCCAATGCCACACTCTGCTTCCCTGTGCGGACACCCCTCTTGAGCTGACTTGCTCTGCAACGTTCTCCTGCAGTCTCTGATGGGCTGGGCTGGGCTGGGCTGGGAGGTGAGGCAGTACAGACCAGGTGTGGCCACACTTGTGTGACTCTAAGTCTGGGGTGTGTGTGTCATATGAACACAGGCTGTGTGTATGCTCCTGTGTGTTGCCTGCCCAGTGCAGACACTGTACACCTGTTGGCAGGTGCCCACTACAGGTCTGGCACAGCTGGCTGTGTCCAGGAACCAAGGGGCTCAAGGGCCAAGGTCATGCTTGCAGCCACACGTGTAGTCTCCTTTCCTGAGGCTGGTGGCAGGGCAGAGTAAAAGGCCTTAATTTCTAGCCCATTCCCTATCCCAGAGTGAAGGAGGCAGGTGGGCCTGGCCTGGTATGAGCCAGCCAACAGGTCCTGCCATCACTGGGATGCCCATAATCTATTGCTGAGCGGGCCAGGGCTTCCAAGACCAATCTCCTGTTTCCCCAAGCTCCACAGAAATGGATAGGCCAGACTGGCCACACATGCACCTGCTCCAGCCTGGAGACTTCAAGATCCTGCAACTGGCCAGACCCATCCTCAGCCATCCCTTCCTGCCCCCAGTCCAAGCCCCTGGTGCTATCAGATCCACTGCTTGCCCCCAGGGCAGGTGGCAGGAGGACAGAAAACAAGGGAGGACAGGCAGACCCTTCTCACAGAAAGCCTGGGCAGGAAGCGTCAGGAAGGGGCTGTGTCCATGGCAGCTGGGAACAGCCTGTGCAGGCGGCTGCATGGAGGTCAGGGCAGTTAGAGCAGAGGATCCCCGATGGGCTGGAAAGCAAAGGCAGCGGGCAGAGAGGGAGGAATTCCTCAGAAAGCTTCAAATCTGACCTAATGTTGACCCAGAGCCAGGAGGACCCATTCCAGAAGTTTCTCTGAGGATATTTCGCTCCAAGCAAGGAGCCCCGCCTGCCCAAGCCTCTGTCCCAGCAGCTCCGAGGACACACAGGCTCCTCTTTGGCTCCAAATGCAGGAGCCAGCACAGGCTGGAACCCTCAGGACTGTGGGGCGATGGTGTGGCGGGTGGGGGGGGGGCAGGGTACACAGGTGCTGTGTCTCTCCCCAGGCCCAGGCTTTCCAGGGATAAGAACAAGATCTAGCTCCTTGGGGTCTGTCTGTCATAACTACCCCAGCCAACCTCAGCAGGGAACGGGGCAGGACCCCACCCATTTCAGACACGTAGAGTTAGGCCTGGGGAGGTGGGACCCCACCTGCTCTGCTTCTGCTTCCCCCTCTTATCATGTGACCCATGGGCCCCTCCCCATATCCACACAGAAAAGGCCATACCTCTGAATTAGAAAAGGTTTATTAAGAAGAAAGAAGGAAAGCAGCAGCTTGGAGGAGGGGCATGGCAGGTGGGTGCGTGGGTGTGGGTGGCGGTGGCAGGTCAGGTCCCTAATACCTCCAGACCAAGGTTATACCAGGTCCTGGGGGCAGGAAGTGGCCGTGACCCCGAACATGTAAACACGGGTGGGGGCAGCGCAGCCTGAGCAGCAGCGCATCACAGTGAAAGCTGGCCGGGGCCCAGGCAGGTGGGCCTGCAGCCCCTCCTGGGCATGTTCCATTCTCCCCCTTCCCCCCGGGGATGGAGGAGGGGCAGGCTGAGCCACAGGGGCCAGAGCCTGCTTGGAATGTAGGGAGTTACTGATGGTCAGCTCAAGCAGCCAAGAGGGGCCACGAGGGCCCCGTGATCCGTGGTGTATGCCCCAGTACCCAAGCCCAGAATGGTAGGGTAGGAGGCAGGCATTGCTGTGCAGCTGTGGGCACAGATGTGAGAGTGAGGGGGAGAGGAGACTGCTGTTTGCACCTGGCACAGCATACCTGCCCCAAATGTGACCCCCCCCCCGCATCGGTGCTCCAGTGCAACCCCTCTGTGGAGTTCTCGATGGGCACAACATCTGGAGCTTCAAGGAACCTGCAGCATGGCTGCCATTATAGGCACTGTCATCCTCTGAGCCTGATCCTAGCCTCAAAGATGCGTTCTCCAGATTTGGGCACTGGCACAGCTCTGGGTGTCAGCGTCTACCCAGTGGCCAGGGGAGCGAACACAACATATCCTGGGGGAGGCTGAGGCCAGGCCTGACTTTGAATGACTGATGGCTGCCCCTTTCCCAGGGATGGGATGGGGGGGTTTCAACTCCGCAGAAAGGTGGGGCCCTCTGCATGGCCCACCCCCGGGCGGGGTGGGTTGCCAGCGGGCAGTGGTCAGAGGCTGTCGTACATGCGCAGTGTCTTCTCCAGCTGCTGGGCCACTCGCTGGTAGAAGAGGATCTGCTGGCGCAGATAGCTCTGCATCATGTGCTTGAAGTCCAGCTCGCGGCGCTGGTGGAAGTGGTTCATCTCCGCCTGCAGTGCGAAGCCCACTACGCGGCAGCGCCGCCGGATGCCGTCTGCCTCATCCTGTGCCATGCGGCCCTCGTCGCTCATGCGCTGACTCTCCTTCACCTTGGCAAAGGCGCCTGGTGGGGCGATAGGGACAGGGGTGGGTGGGTTGGGACAGACTGTTAGGATGCCCATTTCCCCCCAGCAGCTCCTCACCCTGGGCTCCCAGCCCTGCCTCCACCGGACGGACCATCTTACACCTGAATCTACCAGTTGGCCTACACATTACCTACCTGTCTCCTTGCTCCTGGGCCAGGGTGCCTCCTGTTCCAATCCACAGGTTTCCATCACCTCTCAAGCTGGCTCCCTATTTGGCTGAGATAGCACCTCCTCCAGGAAGCCCTTCTTGCACCCTGGGCTTTGTGCCACCATAGCCATCACAGCCCTGCCGCGTCCCCTACCTGCCATATCCCTCCAGGGCTCTGAGGAGTCTGTGCCTCTGACTCAACCTTGACCTGACCTTCACTATCCAGCCAGGATGGTCCTGCAGGTCCCCCTGTCCTCCGGAGAAGCAGCAGCCAGACTGGGTCCCTCAAGCTGGCACCTTCCCAGGCTCTGCAAATTCAGCTCACGCCCATGCAACCCCTGCACATGTGGACCCCAAATTCACCAGCTCAGTCTGTGCTTTCCAACCCACCAGTCTCTGCCTGCAGAGTCCCTTATTCATAATTCAAGGATGGGATCAGGTGCCCTAAGGCAAACCACACCCCCTCTGCCACACCCACTGGGTTCTAAAATAGCACTTCAAAGGCCACCTGGTGTGTCTCCGCACTCAACTCCCAGGAGACCAGAAGAGGCTCCAGTGAGAACAAGTGACAGATGGGGGATGGGAGGGGGGCCGGGGGCCGGCAGGGAGCCCCATAAAACTTCACAAGGCAGCAGCATCCTAATCAGCACACATTAGCCCAGCACTTTGGCCATGAGGACAGCTGGTGGCTGGGCTGGGACCGGGCAGTTGATCCGTGCCTGCCATAAGCTGTGGGACTCTTACTACAGCACAACAAGGTGGGGAGGGCTGGTGGGCAGCAAAGCAGGGCAACCCATAGCAAGTTAACTCTCTACCCACAGACCCTCCAGTACTCTGGGGTGGTGGAGGGGAGCAGCTCCGAGGACCTGCCAGATGGTTCTGTTACTCTTAACTTGACTGGCATATATAGAAGACTCCGTGGGAGGAGTTTTAAACTTTACCAAGGGTGGTACCTGTGTGGGTGGGCAAGTGCATGGCTGGCTGGCTGCCTCACAGTAGCATTTTAGGCAGGCACCCTCAAGCGTGGAGAAGTTTCCAGAACTGCCCAAGAACAGCCTGCAGGCCCTTGTGCTCAGCCTACTCAGCGCCCCCACATCCCAGCCCTGGGCAGTAGACACTAATATAAGAAAGCTAGGGGTTCCCAGCCTCCTTCCAGTTCCACAGGGGCTGGCCCCAGGGCCAGACCGGGGTGGACACCACCTCTGCTGTAGTGAGCTCTGTCAGGTTCAGCAGGTGAATGCTGAGGGTCTCCAGAGATGGGAAGAGCAATAAGAACAGCAGACAAAGGCAGGACCCTGAATGGAAGACCTTGAGCTGGCCTGGACCCCATCTGCCTGGGGGAGTTGGCGCACAGTAAAGGCGGAGCTATGCTCAGGGGACTCTGTCCAGTCCCTGGCCTTGGAGGAAGGTAAGGCCCTTTCTCTGGTCCATCCACAAACCAACAGGGGCCAGAGGGGGAGAGGGGAGCTCCCCATCACCTGGCTACCCTGTGACTCAGTTTCGGGGAGGAGAGGCCAGCAGCAGCTCATGCAAGCAGGATCCGGCCCAAGCAGTACCTCCTCCCCCTAAATCCCATGTCAGGACTCAGCTGAGAGTCAGGGAGCCCACCTTGCCTTGGGGGCACAGGAAGGCTGGACCCCAGCTCCGGGGAACATTTTCTAGGCTCTGCCCAGGTTCACTCCAGCAAGCCACAGTTCTCATCCAGGGGCTGCCATCATAAGAACCCAGCTGTACCTGCTGACAGCTGCTCCCACCACTTGTACCATGGGACAGCAGAACATTTGTCCTGCAGCATAGCTGAAGGGGAACTGAATTGATGGAAGGGGGGCATTAAGGACCACACCCCACACAGAATTAAGCTCTTATGGGCTGTGCCCTGGAGTGCAAACCACTTTTCTATCCGGGAACCCAGAGCATGCACCAGCTGGGCAGCACCTAGCAGGACTATTCTCTTTGTTTATGGAATTCTAGAAGGTGCATGTATGAAGTGATGTCTCAGAACCTACAAGAGGGTGGGCTTTGTGGCACAGTGCGTGAAGCCTCCAGCTGTAACACTGGCATCCTACAAGGGCGCCAGTTCAAGCCTTAGATGCTCTGCTTCCCATCCAGCTCCCTGCCAATGCACCTAGGGCAGGTGAGGGAGGGAAGGGGAGGCAGCAGAAGATGGCCCAAGCCCTTGGGACCCCACCACCCACATGGGAGACCCAGACAGAGTTGCTGGCTCCTGTTTTAGGTCTGGCCAAGCCCCAGTTGTTATGGCCATTTGGGGAGTGAATGAGTGGGTAGAAGATCTCTCTCAAACTCTTCCCCAATCCCCATTACTGGGCCTTTCCAATAAATCAATCTTTAAAAGGGGGGGGGGGAGGGAGGCAGTACAGTAGCCTTGCGGCTAAAGTCCTCGCCTTGCATGTGCCAGGATCTGCTATGGGCGCCAATTCTAACCCTAGTGGCCCACTTCCCATCTAGCTCCCTGCTTGTGGCCTAGGAAAGCAGCTGAGGATGGTCCAAGGCCTTGGGACACTGCACTAGTGTGGGAGAAGCTCCTGGCTTTGGATTGGAGCAGCACTGGCTGTTGCAGCCATTTAGGGAGTGAATCATTGGATGGAAGATCTTCCTCTCTGTCTCCCCTGTCTATATATTTCACTTTCTAATAAGAATTTTTAAAGATTTATTTATTTTTAGGGCCCGGCGGCATGGCCTATTGGCTAAAGTCCTCGCCTTGAACACACCGGGATCACATATGGGCACCAGTTCTAATCCCAGCAGCTCCACTTCCTATCCAGATCCCTGCTTGTGGCCTGGGAAAGCAGTTGAGGATGACCCAAAGCTTTGGGACCCTGCACCCGTGTGGGATCCCCGGAGGGGGTTCCTGGATCTTGGCTTCGGATTGGCATGGGCCCTTGCAGCCGCCTGGGGAGTGAATCATCAGACGGAAGATGTTCCTCTCTCTCTCCTCCTCTCTGTATATCTGCCTTTCCAATAAAAATATATAAATCTTTTTCTATTTTTTAAAAAAATGTATTTATTTATTGGAAAGTCGGATATACAGAGAGGAGGAGAGACAGAGAGGAAGATCTTCCATTTGATGATTCACTCCCCAAGTGAGCGCAATGGCCGGAGCTGAGCCAACTGAAGCCAGGAGCCTCCTCCAGGTTTCCCATATGGGTACAGGGTCCCAAGGCTTTGGGCTGTCCTCAACTGCCTTCCCAGGCCACAAGCAGGGAGCTGGATGGAAAGTGGGGCTGCCAGGATTAGAACCAGCGCCCATATGGGATCCCGGCGCGTGCAAAGCAAGGACATTAACCATTAAGCTATCACGCTGGGCCGAAAAAATCTTAAAAAAAAAAAAAAAAAAAGGAGCTACAGGGGCAGCCCCACCTGTCCCTCAGGTAAAAGTTTGTCCCTGCTCCTGGTCCGTTGAAGATGCCAACGGAGTGAATGGCACAGTGCCTGAGTCTCCGTTCTTCCCCTGTCCCTGCCCTTCTGCTCAGCAACCTGGATGCCTTTGGGGGAGGGGTGCTTCTATCTGTGTGAGATAGTGTGGGTACACACACCTGGGCCTGGATTCCTGCCCTCTATCCTGGCTACATTGGAAGTGCTCACAACAACCTGTTGGCAGGTGTCAAGCCTCAGCACTGGACCCTGCCCTGGTTGGCTATCAGGTGGGGACCACAGGTGACTTCTAGATTGCCTGGGCAGTGCCAGGGTAGTGACCATGAGGGCCTCTCCAACTGCCCCTCTCCAACTGACAGGTGTCAGGCTTAGGGAGCACTGGGCCATCCAGGCTGGTGTGCCTCACTCCTCCTTTCTTCTGAAAAGATAAATGTGGAAATACCCCCCACCAGGCCGGGGGTTCCCTAAGCTGAGCCCTGCCCCAAACCCTGCCTGTTTTGATACAGCCTGATTCCAAGCCCCCACTCCATTATTCACTGCAGCCAGACCCCCTGGAACCAGAGGCCAGACCCAGAGAGAGTGCAGAGGGCCCAGCCACAGCAGGCAGGCAGCTCATGCTCCGAGAGAAAGGAATGCTGTAGTCTCCCCACCCATCCTGTCCCCACAGTTCAAGCACCCCAAATGCGGCCTGTCAGCCCTGAAGCCTGACGCAGGGTCAGAGAGGCCAGCCTGTCTTCCCTCCCTCCTGCCGCAGCTCTGCCCTGGGTGAGGGCTCCCAGCATGGCCTGGCAGCCAGCTTTGTACCCTCCTGCCACTGCCCACATAGGAATCCTGCCATGCTAGGAGCCGGTTGAACCTGCTCTCCCAGGTAACTCCACTTCCGCACAGGGAGACACACCTGACCCAGTGGGCTAACCTGAGCTCAGAGGAGCCAGGTCAAGGGGCATCTTCTTGCTGCCAGGCCAGACCCTCCTCACCATTGGAACTCCCCCCTACCCCCCAATCAGCTCCTTGGTCCCTCTCCCCACATGTTCTACCAATCAGAAGACTAAGGCTCAGAGAGGCAAAGGCATTTCCCAGGGACACACAGCAAACCAAGGACAGAACCACGACTAGAACCCAGGCCTCTAGTGTCTCCACGAGTTTGGGAAGAAAAGGAAGAGGAGGAGAGGGAAGAGGGCAGAGGAGGAGGTCGCCAGCAGAGAGTTCCAGAAGGCAGCAGCCTGGGCATGCAGAGCTGTACTGGCCCAGTGCAGACTCTCTGGGGTACCGGTTAGCCTTGTGGCCCCACCCAGTGTCCCCACCAAGCCAGGCTTGACCTCAGGGCCTAGGAGCCTGGGAGCCAGCCCCACGCCCTGCAGCCGTTCTTTGGGAGTTTCCAAGGGGCCACACCTCTCTCTCCTGACATCTGCCTCTCCTTGTCCCTGGCCAGCTGGCCAGCACAGGCCCAGTCCTCAGACAGGACAAGGAGAAGTCTGGCTTGGGGCGAGGTGGGGTTGGGGAAGTTGGGGGATGGATGGGTTGCATGTGCAATGCCCCGGACCCCTGGGTGTGCAGCACAGACCCTGCCTGGCGCCCCGGCATGACCCAGATGAGTCACTTCGCTGGCAGTTCCTTGCTGGTCCCAGCAGTCCCAGGCAGGGGCCCATCCTGTCCCTCCCTGGCCCCTTCCCCACACACAGGGGCCATGAGATCCTGACACACACAGCTGGCCTTGGGAGGTAGCCAACATGCACATGTCCTTGGGGACACAGTGGGAGGAAAGGACAGTCCTTACTGGGCTGTGGACTCCCTGTGCTGCCGCCTCCCTTCCCCCCTCCCTCCTGTGGGCACAGCTGGGGAAGGGGACAAAGCTCCTCCCTTGCAGAGATAGGAGCTGGAGGAGGGGAAGTGGGGCTCTGGAGCCCGCAAGGGTGGGAGCAAGGGCTGGGGGCAGGGGGCCTGCCCTTTCTGCACTGTCACCTGGGCTGCTCTGAACCCATGAGCAAGGCATCGGGGGCAGAGATCATCTCCATGTCCCCAGAGCCCTGCCTAATGCGAAGCCAAAGAGTTCCCTGCATGATGGACTAAGTGTACATAAGTGACTACAAAGGGATCCCCAAGAATGGGTGCCTCATGCTCATGCGCCCCTGCACCCGGAGTGGCACTCGCCCTTGCTAGGCACTCAAGTCATTGCTGAAATGAATGGCAGAGGGAGCTGACATGCTGTCCCCACCCCCAAGTGCAGACCCCGCCCAGGGCCTACCTTTCTGCAGGTGGATGATGTCGGGGAAGTTGGAGAGTAGGCCCTGGTAGAGCGACAGCGTGTCAAGCATCTGGAAGAGGTCATTCTTGGGCTGCTCGGCAAACATCTCGCCCACGGCCTCATAGGTGCGGCCAGTGTGGGAGATGGCACTGTTGAGGGCCTCCGAGCTGAACGGGGGGTCCATCTGGAAGGCATGGCTCACGGCCTGAAAGGCGCTGCCCAGCTTCTGGAACTCCTTGCGGAAGCCACCTACGTGCTTGCGCACCAGCTCTGAAGCCACGGTGCTGAGCTGCAGGACACTGTCATCCATCTTCTTGCTGAAGGCCTTGAACGTGTCCACCCGGTCCTCCACGTCCTGCAGGTCCTGGTGTTCCGTGGGGATCTGGAAAGTCAGCAGGAAGCTGGCGCCCACCATCTCATCCTTCTCAGCCCGCCGCTTGCCCATCTTCCACTGCTTGGCATCTAGGCAGCTCAGGAAGTGCTGGAAACCCTCGTACTGAGACAGCACGGGGTGGCTGGTCATGTGGTCCATCCAGAGGATGAGCCGCCGCTTGCGCTTCTCGATGAAGTCCTCCTCGAAGCGGCCTGTGGCCTGCTTCTCCGGCAGGTGCGGCACCGAGATGACCGTGAACTTGTGGAGCAGGCGGTTGTAGAGCCAGTCAAAGTGCTTGTAGCGCCGGTAGACAGGGGAGCCAGCGTGGGTGGGCGTGAGCTTGTAGGAGATGTAGCTCTTGATGCCCTTGAACTTGGTCTGCTTGGTGGGGTCCTCCACGGAGCAGGCGAACGGGTGGGGGTTGGCCTTCCACTGGGGGCCGCGTGGGCCCATTTCGATGGAGTATGTCTCGGCGATCTTGGCCATCATGGGCACATCCCCTAGGATGAAGGCCTCCACCCCGGAGCGTACAAAGCAGGAAAATCGGTTGAGGTTGCGTCCCACCACGCTTCCCCGCTTGGCTGACGCCAGGCTGTCCTGCCGCTCCAGGGGTGGCTTGGGCCGGAAGGCCACGTGCTGGCTAGGGTAGGCACCAGGGTAGGAGAGGTTGAGCGGGGGGTGGCCATTGGTGCCTCCAGCCCGTGGCTCCTCCACCACTGTGCAGCCATCATCCCAGTCATCCCAGTCATCATCATCCTCGTCTTCGAAGCTGCCCTGGTTGGAAAGGAAGCCGCCGCTGCTACTGACACCTCCACTCCTGGGGCTGTCGTATAGACTGGCCTGGGTGCTCAGGGAGCCCACCGCGCTGCTGTAGTAGTCGGTGCTGGGACGGAGGATCTCCACATAGGAGGCGGGGAAGAGCCCTGTCTCCCCACGGCTGTTCTGGCCCTGCAGCCAGCCGTCCAGAGAAGTCTCGCTGAAGATGACCAGGTCCTCGTCCTGCTGGATGCTGATCTCCTCCTTGTTCTCGCTGTGGAAGTCATACAGGGCCCGGCCTCTCAGTGCCATGGCTGGGCTCAGCTGGGCTGCGCTGGATGGCCAACTTCTCAGGGAAGCAGAGGGTCCTGCCCAGCCTAGAGGTTTGCTTAGGGTGTCCCAGCTCAGTCTCTAGGCGGCCTCCCCCACCCCGCGCCGGGAAGCAGGATCTCTGCACCTGCAGATGCTGTCTGACTGCCCCCCACTCTCTCTCTCACGCAGCGTCCAGAGGCCCACGACTGCCCTATCAGGGCTGTGGCCATGTGCTTAAAGCAGGGAGGGAGGGCTCCTGGGCCATGTTCTTCCTCCTCCCACTCCCAGAAGAAAAGTCAAGTGACCTGGAGGCGCCGGCTGTGTGAAGCAGGACAAGAAGCTGACACTCTGCACCCAAGCGATGTTCTAAAATAGAAGAGAATTCCCCAGGAAACCGGGCCTTGCAGACAAGCAGGCGGGGCTGGCTCCCTGCTCCTCCCGGCAGCCGCCGCTGGCCTGGGGAGACTCACATTCCTCTGCGGACCTGCCTCTTCCTCCTTCCTCCTCCTCCTCCTCTGGGGCCACTGGGTTCTCAAAAATCCATACCATCCAAGAGGAACGAGGCGCAGCTTCCTGAGCCGAGGTCAAGGGGTGGGGGGATATGCCCGAGTTCAACCCGGGCCAGGCACGCACGCGCGCAGCAGGCCGTCAACACCTCGCCGCGGCCGGCTAGTTGGCGGTGTAGCCGGCCCTCGAGGGCTCCAGGCCTCTCCCGGAGACGAGGCGCTCCAGCAACTAGTGGCCACTCGCGGAGCGGTCTCTTTTGTTTGCCTAATTCCTCAGCACTCAGGAAGCCTGAAGCTGACCCCGATCTGAGAGTTCAGCGATCCCTCCTCTCCACCCCCGCCCCGCACCCCACACGCGCAAGAATAACCTCAGTGGAAAACAGAACCCCAGCACCACTAAGGGATCCGGGTGCACGATCCCCTCCCCGCACCGTGCGTGCACTCAGCTGTAGTAGTTCGGGCAGTAAGCTCCAAGTCCGCGCTGCGCCCCGCGCCGCCCCACGCGTCCCAGCCGGTGCGGGGGTTGAGCTGCGCCCTCAGCCGCCTTCGCCCGCACCGCCAGCGAGAAGCCAGCTCCAAAACAAAACAAAACAAAAAAAACCACCAGGGATTCCGGGAGGAGGCGTCCGGGAAGGAGGGGAGAAAGAGAGAGGGGAGGTGCGGGGGGCGGAGGGAAGCCGGGAGTCGGGCGAACTCCGCCGTACTTCCGCGCCGCCAGGCGGGGCAGGCACGGCCCGGCTCCGCCCCGCGCCTCCTGCGCCCCTGGCTCGGGGTCGGCCGGGCCCCCTTGCTGGCCCGTGCGGTTCGGCGGGGCGGCGAGCAGGCTGCCCCGGGCATTCGGGTGCCCGGCTAGCCTGGGGGTCGGAGGAGCCCCGGGCGCCCCCTCCTACCCACAACCTTCAGCCTGCCCGCGGGCCCCCGGAGCTGGAATGGCCGCGCGGGGGAGCTCGCTCCCCGCCGCCCGCAGGCCAGCCTCGGCCACCCTCCTGCCTTTTCCGTGACGCAAGTGGAGGAAAACTCGGAAAGTTTGCACAGCGCCGGGGTTGCCAGGAGGGCGCCGGGGCCAGGCCTCTTCGGGCACGGGGCGTGGAGCGCCTGGGATGCTTCCTGTCTCCCCAGCTCCGGGACAGCTGACCTGGCATGCCGGTCTCTGCGCGGACAGGATATGGCCCCAAAGCACTGGGAAGGGAGGAGATCCTACACCTGCAGGCCGTTTGCAGGCGGCGGGGATTTCGTAGAAGCGGCTGCAGCAAGGAGGAGGGTGCGCTGGATCTGACTCTTGGCCCCCCGAGCCCACCCCACTTTGGGTGCTAACTGAGCCTGCCTTCTGCCCTGGGAATAAAGGGGCGGGGGTCTTCCAGTCCACTCTCTCTGCTCCTTCTCTCTTGATTTGAGCTTGGGCCGCAAGGACTCCTGAGATCTTGGCCTGGCCTTGCGGTATGCTCTCCCGGGTTCACAACTTTTTTCCAAGCAGGACTAGACACTGGCTGCTGCTTCCTTCGTGCTCGCCGAGTGCTGGGTGCTACTGGATATGGTGCCTGTGTTAATTCTGTCCCGCAAGTGATGGGATTTCTGCCCACCCAACCAAGTTCTTACAGCCCCAACCCCTGAATCTGTAATGAATAGATTTACACCACCTCTGTTTTGAGTGGCTTGTTGTTGTTTTTAATTGGAAAGTGAAATATACAGAGAGGAGGAGAGACTGAAGAAGCTCTTCTGTCCGATGATTCACTACTCAAGTGGCTGCAATGACCACAGCTGAGCAGATCCAAAGCCAGGAGACAGGAGCTTCTTCTGGGTCTCCCATGGGTGCAGGGTCCCAAGGCTTTGGGCTGTCCTCGACTCTTTCCCAGGTCACAAGCAGGGAGCTGGATGGGAAGCAGGGCTGCCAGGGTTAGAACAGGTGCCCAAATGGGATCCTGGTGCGTGCAAGGGTTGCAGGTGGGAGCATCAGGGACTTGAACTGGTACCCATGTGGAATGCCAGTATCACAGGCGTTGGCCCTAGCAGCTCTGCCATGGTGGCAGATCCTGGTTGCAAGTATTTTCAGAATCTTTATCTTCCTGGCCCTCCCTGCAGAGACCATCTGCAGGCCCCCAGTAACAGAGTCCCAGGATTACTGGGCTCTAAAGTGCACTGACCTCACTGGTGTCCACATAGCTTGACTGTTCCTTTGGAAACTGTCCCTGGGGTAGATTTTCTCTCTCTCTCTTTCTTTCTTTCATTTTTAAAGATTTATTTTTACTGGAATGGCAGATCAGATCTACAAAGAAAAGGAAAGATAGATCTTTCATCAGCTTGTTCACTCCCCAAATGGCCTCAATGGCCAGAGATGAGCCAATCCAAAGCCAGGACCAGGAGCCTCCTCTGGGCTTCCCGTGCAGATGCAGGGTCCCAGGGCCTTGTGTCATCCTCTACCACTTTCCCAGGTTATAAGCAGAGAATTGGATGGGAAGCAGGGCACCCAGGACACAAACTGGTACCCATATGGGATCTCGGTACTTGAACCACCAAGTCATTGTGCCAGGCTCTTGATTTTCTTCATGCTGTTCTCATGGGAGTGTGTTCTGGTTCCTGCTGGGTCACTGGTTCATGAACTCCGATTCACTTCTCTAATGACTCCAGCAGCCAGGGCTGGGCCAGGCTGAAGCCAGGGACTCCATTCAGGTCTCTGACATAACTAAAAAATAAAACAGTAAAATATAGGTCTGGTGCAATAGACTAGTAGCTAAAGTCCTTGCACCAGGTTTCCTTAAGAGTGCCAGTTCATATCCCAGTTGCTCCACTTCCCATCCAGCTCCTTGCTTTGTGCCCTGGGAAAGCAGTTGAGGATGGCCCAAAGCCTTGGGACCCTGTACCCATGTGGGAGACCCAGAAGAAACTTCTGGCTCCTGGCTCAACTCTGGCTGTTGCAGCGTCTTGGAGAGTGAACCAGTGGATGAAAGATCTTTCTTCCACTCTCTATATCTGACTTTCTAATAAAATAAATCTTAAAAGATAAATTTTAAAAAATAAAGGACAAAGGAGGAGTTGACATTGTGACACAGCTGAGCCAGTTTGCAATGCCAATTTTAATCTTGTCTGCTCAGCTTCTGATTCAGCTTCCTTCTTACACAACTTTCAGGGTGCAGAATAGCCCGGGTACTTGATTCCGTGCCACGCACAGGGAGACCTGTAAGAACCTCCTGGCTCCTGGCTTTGGCCTGGCCCAGCCCCATAGCAGCTATTTGGGAAGTAAACCAGTGCGTGGAATATCTTTCTTCCCTCCTTTGTTTCTCTGTAACTCTGCCTTTCAAATAATAATAATAATACAGAAAAGAGGAAACATATATAACACCTTTATTTGCAAAGTAAATATAAATTAGTCATAATTAAGTGCCATAATGCATCAAACTAGCCAAAAAAAAAGTTGTGTTTTTTTTTTTTTTTTTTAAGCAAGCAACTGTCAGGGGCGGCCGAAGGAAGACTACAACCACTGTGGTAACCGATGTGGTGATGTCAGGAAAGGGTGACCACACAGCCTTCCAGCCCAGCAGTTCCATACAACAACCTCCATACTTCGTGCTGTCTGGCATGCCACACCTCTGAATGTCAGCATGTACGTTGCGCCGAGCATGGGGAACTGCAGAGGACTTCCAGCAAGGCAGCAAGGGGCGCCCTGAGCGGGCCTTTCAACAAGCTGACCCAGTGATGCGTGGGAACTGCTCAGCCCATTTCTTATGGGACAAAGAAGGAACAAATGCTGAAAAGACAGGAGATAACTGTGGGACAAAAGGATGGGTGCAGTCAGCTGACCTGACTTGGCTGGGTGTCGCCGTCCTGCAGCGATGGACTTGGTGCATGGAGCCAATAACAACACGTGTGAACTACTTAACTGACAATTATAGCCAGAGTTTATTAGTAGTATGAGACTTTATACAGTGAGGGTCATATAGGATAAGGGAGGAAGTATTCCACCAAGTGTTCTCATTCACATGCTGTCCACTCAAATGTTTTAGTTTAGTTTTATATGAATGGCACACACTGAGTTGTTCTCTTACAAATGATATCCAATCACACAAATGACACCCATTGTTATTCTCATACAAATGTTACCCAATCAATTGTAATCCTGTGCTCGCTGACCTTCTAGGGTCACAATGACCTTCTGCAGCTGGAGGGCGGGGAGGCGGTTCACGAATAGCCATTATACCACCTGGTCCTTTAGACCTGGCATCTTCCAGATACCAAACACTTGGGATCCCACAAGAGCTCAGAGAAGCAGCTAGGTGGCAGCAAAGGCCTCCACGTGCACATCCAAGCGTTGGGGCAGGCTTCCCTCACGCCGCCAGAGCTGGCACGGAGCGTGCACCTGCGCCCACACCGCAATGTCCAGGGAGGGTAATGAATGGGCTTCACCAGCCACCGGACACACCACCAAGCGGCTTCCCTTGGCGATCTGGAGGCCGCCTGAGAACCAGGCATGTCAGAGATCTAGTGCCTCCACCCCTTCCCCGCCAACCGCGCTTGGCAAAGGAAAATCTCCCAGTCCCCTTGGAAAGCGGGTGGGGACAACAAAGTCAGTCCCCAGGCAAGCTGGCCGGTCTGGACTGGTGGGACACCAAAAAGGCCAACACAGCTAACAACGCTACTGCAGACGTCCGAAATCATCGGCCTGCAGCTTTAGCTCCTGCTGGGTGAGAGGGAGACACCAAAGGGAAGAAATCTGGAAGTGTAGACACTAGGGACGCAAGCGCGCCAACCAGGATCTGCTAGCACCTGCCTGGAGAGCCGAGGTCCGGGAGCCGGAAATAACGGGCGAGAGGCGTGGCCACGGCCGGGGCGTGGCCTACAGCCTTCCGCTCATTGGCTCCAAGTCGCAGGGGCGGCCGGGTGCTCGGGGCGAGCAGGCGGAAGTCGCGCGGTCACCGAATTCTGGGTCATGCTCTCCGGCCTGCCGCCCGCCCGCCCGCCATCATGGTCCGGAAGCTCAAGTTTCACGAGCAGAAGCTGCTGAAGCAGGTGGACTTCCTCAACTGGGAGGTCACCGACCACAACCTGCACGAGCTGCGCGTGCTGCGGCGCTACCGGCTGCAGCGGCGCGAGGACTACACGCGCTACAACCAGCTGAGCCGCGCCGTGCGCGAGCTGGCGCGCCGCCTGCGCGACCTGCCCGAGCGCGACCCGTTCCGCGTGCGCGCCACGGCCGCGCTGCTGGACAAGCTGTACGCGCTGGGCCTGGTGCCCACGCGCGGCTCGCTCGAGCTCTGCGACTCGGTCACGGCCTCGTCCTTCTGCCGCCGCCGCCTGCCCACCGTGCTGCTCAAGCTGCGCATGGCGCAGCACCTGCAGGCCGCCGTGGCCTTCGTGGAGCAGGGCCACGTGCGCGTGGGCCCCGACGTGGTCACCGACCCCGCCTTCCTGGTCACGCGCAGCATGGAGGACTTTGTCACCTGGGTCGACTCGTCCAAGATCAAGCGGCACGTGCTGGAGTACAACGAGGAGCGCGATGACTTCGACCTGGAGGCCTAGCCACGGCATTGGTCGCGGGGGAGATGGAGAGGTCCGCGGCGGGACCCCAGGGGAGTGCTGGGAGAACTCCCCTCCCTGCGGGCCACATGCAGAACCAAGGCGGGTACCTTGTTGTTTGCCTCAAGTTGCCTTCCAATTCGGACTCCTGATGACCTCACGCACGACCTGCGTGGGGCAGACATACGGGACCCTTTGTGCCTCACTCCGGCAGCCGCTGATGACTTGTGCCCCCAGAATTGTAGGGTAAAAGTTAGAACTTGGGGACGCACCCACAGCCTACCTTTCCCTTTATATCGTCTTGGGGCTGTTTGGTTCGGTTTAATTCTTGTTCCTAGGCGTGATTTATCTGCGTAGCAGTCGGAGGGCGTGGACTCCCCTTTAAATAAAGGGAGTGAGAATGTACACACTTCCTATTTAAAGGAGTGTCTTCCTAGCGCTAATAAATGGCCCAGCTACTTATATAGTAAGTGCAACTTGGCTTTTCTGGTTTTCTCAACACTTGTGTGTTTCAAGTCCACAGCGATGTTGCTCAGGGCTGGACTCGTTATCGCTAGTGTTTGGCAGAGCTTTCCTGGGCGGGATTTCCTGTTGATGCTCCAACCCCTCGCTCTCCGGGACCCCTATTGGAGGGAGTGCTGTGCACCTAGCGGTTGGTAGTGACTCAGGGTTTGGGGGAGATGAGTGTTAGGGGGTGATGGAGACCTCTCGAGTGTGTAGCCACTTGTGTGCAGGCGTGATGGAAGTGGCATGGCGTGGCGTGGTGACAGCAGCAGGTGTGTCGTACCACAGGTGAGGCTCATCTGGGAGTGCGTGGCGTGAGTTAACCTGTTGATACCTATGGACAGTCCTCCACTTTTCACCTGCAGGGACCGGTGCACCAGTGGGCCAGGAAGATGGGCTGTAAGAGACGCGGGGGGTGGGGGTGTCATTGTTGGCACAGCCAGCCCTTGGGATGGGTCCCGTCAGAATTTCCAAACCAGCAGTCACAGCAGCAAGGCTGGGCCCTGCTAGACCTTGGGCACAGCTCAGCATGGGATGCTGGTGAGGGGAGAAGGAGGGAGCATGCACTGAACCGGAAGGTTTAGAGGGAGGGTGATGCTCAAGGAATTGGAAAACCTAACCACAGGAGAGGGCTGCCTGTCAACCCCACAGGTAGACATTGGGTTTGGGAACCAGGATTGAGACCAAAGCTAGGGATTCAAGTCCCAGGCTCATGTAGAGGGAGGAGGAAGTGATCTTTCAAGTACATGCTGATTCTCTGCCCCCAAATGCTCACATTGGCTATGGGTGGGTCAGGCTGAACCCAGACCTCCGTTCTTGAACTTTGGAACTCTATCCACACTTCTTCTTTGGAACTTCTGCCCACACCCGAGTACTGGATCCATCAGTTGTGTTAGCAGAGAATTGGAATGACCAGGACTTGAACCAGCACTCACACGGTATGCTACATTGCAGGCCACAGCCTGATGCACAGTGCCAATATGCCAGTCCCAACTTTATTCCTTTCAGAATCCCACGGCCTGTCGTTGCCTGGGCAGTCACACCCCATTGGGGTCTCAGCATTGTGGATCTCCCTCCAGCACTTATAGGACCCCATGAAACAAGACAGGTTGATGGGCATCTGGAGTCACTGTCTGTGTTCCCAGGCAGAGCAACCCCAGAGCTCTAGAAGGAAAGTTGGGGGAGAAGGGGCAATATTTTCACAAGAGGTTTTTTTTTTTTTCTTTCCTCCTTTTGGGGGAAATGTAAAGGAAATGACTTAGCAGACCTGCAGTCAGGAACATCGGGCTTACAGGCGAGGGTAAAGCCTACTCTGAGCCCTGCTTTCTCTGTTGCACTGGCCGCTTGCCTCCAGTGTCTGCGCACAAACTGCACAGTGCGGTAAAGAAACTTTTGAGTGGGTGCAGGGTGTCTGTTGGAAGAGAAAGTTTTTGAAATAGATCATTGTGATGTTTACAAAACACAGAAGGGGGAGGATTACAATTGATAGGCTGACATTTGTATGACAACAACTGTTTGGATTTATATAACTGGTTAGACATCATTTATATGAAAACACTGGGTGGGATATACAAAACAAAAGAGAGTGGGTTTTGTACAGAGGTTTATGGGAACTACTTAAGCTCAATACCTCCTTAATCCTATGTGACACTCAGGGTATAAAAGTCTGATGCCACTATAGGCAATATTTCAGGCTCCATGTACCAAGTCCATCACTGCAAGACAATGAACAATAGTGCTTGTTTGTTTGTTTTTTAAGGTTTATTTATTATTTTTGTTGGAATGGCAGATACACAGAAAGGAGTTACAGAAAAAGATTTTCCATCCACTGTTCACTCCCTAAGTGGCCACAATGGCTGGAGTTGAGCTGATACGAAGTCAGGAGCCAGGAATTTCTTCCAGGCTTCCCACGCAGGTGCAGGGTCCCAAAGCTTTGGGCCATCCTCAACTGCTTTCCAAAGCCACAAGCAGGGAGCTGGATGGGAGGCAGGACTTCCAGGATTAGCACCGGTGCTCATATGGCATCCCAAAACATTCAAGGCAAGGATTTTAGCTACTAGGCCACTGCGTTGGGCCCTTATTTATTTATTTTTTTAATTTTATTTTTTTTTATGGAAAAGTCAGATATACAGAGAGGAAGAGAGACAAAGAGGAAGATTTTCCATCTCATGATTCATTCCCCAAGTGACCACAACAGCTGGAGCTGAGCCGATCCAAATCCAGGAGCCTGGAGCTTCTTCCAGCTTTCTCACACGGGTATAGGGTCCCAAGGCTTTTGGGCCGTCCTCAGCTGCTTTCCCAGGCCACATGCAGGGAGCTGGATGGGAAGTGGGGCCACCAGGATTAGAACCAGTGCACACATGGGATGTCAGTGCTTGTAAGCTGAGGATTTAGCCACTGAGTCACTGTGCCAGGCCTAAAGGTTTTTTTTTGTTGGTTTTTTTTTTTCCCAGATATATTTATTTATTCATTTGAAAGAAAACTATTGAGGAGAGGCAGGGAGAGAGACATTTGAGCATAGTTTGGCCCTAGAGGTGCAATTCAACCTCAAAGTCATAAATTAATTGTTTTTAGGAGGTGGAAATGTAATCCAGCGATGGTGTCCAGGCGGAGGAGCTCCTGGTCACTGGGATGTGGCCTTGGGAGGTGATCCCCAAGAGAGTGTTGGTGATAAAGCCAGGAGTTGGAACCCTATGTCTCTTCCTATTTTACCTTGAGTTCATTTCCCCAGTAACTTCCACCCATCAACCTTACCTGAGAGCAGACCCAATGGGGCTGCCAGACCCGGGACATGAACCTCAGACTGTAGGTTAAATAAAGCTTTTCTCTGTGCAAAGTGAGCTGCCTCGGAGATTTCATTATATTAACAACAACAACAACAAAAAAAGTTGATCACACAGAATATAACAAAAATAGTTATCTTGAGAGAATGAGCCCGCTTCCACCTGCTGGTACACTCCTCTCATGACCATCAGAGCCAGGCCTGGGCCAGGCTGAAGTCTGCAGCCAAGAACTCCATGGCGGTCTCTGTGTGTGTGTCAGAGGCCCACATGTGTGGGTCCCCATCATCACACTCCCTGGAGCATTACCAGGAAGCTGGATTGGAAGCAGGGTTCAGCTGAGACTTGAACAAGCCTGCAGGTCATTGTAGTTGACCTGCTGTAGTGTAAAAGAGATGGTTTTGTAACCTGGGTGAGTGCTCATAAGAAGCGCTCTCGGGGACTTCCTGTGTCGGTTACTCCCCCCACCACCTCACCTGGATGAATGGAGTCTGTATTGCAAGCCCGTGAGACGCAGGTTTATTGGCCACATCTTACAGGGAGGGGTGAAATAAGTAACCTTGGCCTGAGGATCTAGCCCCCAAATCCATGACCTTGCCCAAGCCACATTTCTCCTGCCCACTGTTAAGTCTTGGGGACAGCAGGGCCAGGGGTTCAGGGCCATTCCTGCACCTGCTTCACTTGACCTTGTAATACTTCCATCCTTTTTTTTTTTTTTTCTTTAAGATGTATTTCTATTGCAAAGTCAGATATGCAGAGAGGAAAATCTTCCGTCCAATGGTTCACTCCCCAAGTGAGCGCAACTGCCAGTGCTGCGCTGATCCATAGCCAGGAATCAGGAACTTCTCCAGGTCTCCCACGCAGGTGCAGAGTCCCAAGGCTTTGGGCCGTCCTCGACTGCTTTCCCAGGCCACAAGCAGGGAGCTGGATGGGAAGTGGAGCTGCCGGGATATGAACTGGCACCCATGTGGGATCCCAACGAATGCAAGCACAAGGAGGAGGAATTTAGCTTCTAGGCTACTACACCAGGTCCCAACTGCTTTAGCTTTTGAGATTGTTTTTATACTATTATTTTATTGGAAAGGCAAATTTACAGAGAGGAGAGATGACCTGAAGCCAAGAGCCTGGAGCTTCTTCTGGGTCTCCCACATGGATGCAAGGTCCCAAGGCTTTGGGCCTGGAAGGGAAGTGGAGCAGCCAGGATTCATACCTGCCCCCATATGGGATTCCAGCAAATGTAAGGCTAGGAATTAACCACTAGGCTACTGCATTGGGCCCAAAATTGTTTGACTTTTCATCACTTCTTAACACACGTTAATTTCTGATTTTCACTACGTAATTACTTGCTAGTTTTTACTTATTTGAAAGGCAGAGCTACATCAGGTCAGAGAAAGCACTTACATCCTGTGGTTCACTCTCCAAATGCCAGCCATCAGCAAGGGCAGGGCCAAGCTAAAGCTGCAGTCAATAACCCAATCATGGTCCCCCACAGGAGTGACAGGGACTCCATGACAGGCCACCTGGTGCTGCCAGATCCTGGACAGACAAGTGGAATGCAGCAATGTGGTCACCACTGCACCAGAAGTCTGCCCCATACCACTCTTAAATACATGTATTCAGATTTTTAAGTAAAGATTGATTTTTATTTATTTGAAAGGCAGAGCTGTGGGCAGGGGTGGTAGGAAACAAAGTGAGAAAGTTCTTCCGGGTCTCCCACAAGAGTGCAGGGTCCCAAGGCTTTGGGCCGTCCTCGACTTCTTTCCCAGGCCACAAGCAGGGAGCTGGATGGGAAGTGGAGCTGCCGGGATATGAACTGGCACCCATGTGGGATCCCAACAAATGCAAGCAGTGGCTCAAGTGCTTGGGAGGCCCAGACTGGAGTTCCTGGCTTGCATGGCTCCAGTCTGGCAGAGCCCTGGATGTCACACATTTGGGGAGTGAACCAGGGAATGGAAACTGTCTTCTGAATAAAATAAATACTTAAAAAAAGGGGGGTGGGTGGGCCAGCATGATAGGCTCTACTGGCTAATGCTCCATATGCAACGCAAGCACCAGCATCCAACACAGATGCTCGCTTCTGTCCTGGCTGCTCCACTTCTCATCCTGCTCTCTGCTTAAGTCCTGGGAAGCAGTGGAGAATGGCCCAAAGTCTTTGGACCCTGCATCCACTGAGGGGGCTCTAAAGAAGCTCCTGGCTCCTGCCTTCAGATTGGCTCAGCTCTGAAGGTTATGGGCACTTGGGGAGTAAACTGATGGGCATAAGATTTTTTTTCTCCTTCTCTTTGTAAATGCAGCTTTCCAATAAATATGCATCATTAAAAACAAGTAAGTTGGGGCCCAGCGCTGTGCCCTAGCAGCTAAAGTCCTGGTCTTGAATGTGCCGGGATCCCATATGGGTGCTGGTTCTAATCCTGGCAGCTCTACTTCCCATCCAGCTCCCTGCTTGTGGCCTGGGAAAGCAGCTGAGGACGGCCCAAAGCCTTGGGACCCTGCACCCGTGTGGGAGACCTGGAAGAAGTTCCTGGTCCCTGGTTTCAGATCAATGCAGTACCAGCTGTTGCGGTTACTTGGGGAGTGATTCATTGGACAGAAAATCTTCCTCTCTGTCTTTCCTCCTCTCTGTATATCTGACTTTGCCATAAAAAAATAAATAAATCCTTTAAAAATAAGTATTTTTTTAAGCTTCATTTTCTGTAACAGCCACCTAGCTTCTCCAAAGCCCAGCACACTCAAGCCTTCGGAGTAAAAGCTATGTGACCCTGACCAAATAGCTTAACATCTCTGGGCCTGGGCTTCCTTCCTTTTCCTCCTGTTCCGTTGTAGCATTGAAATCAAAATGTAGTCAACATGGCTCATTGCTAACTGCAATTCTTTTCACTTTTGTAACTTCTGCTTTGCTTGCTTGGCTAAGAAACTGTGTGAGCTTGCAGGACTGATGGCCAACACGACCTTTAGTGCCAATGGCCCCAATTCCCATAAGTCAAAGCCCCAGCCTTATTAAACCATAGATAATTCCTGATGGGGGGGGGGGTCTGCTTGTCACAGGTGGCGCCAAGGTTGGAGCCCAGACCTGAGGAGAGTAGGCAGGGGCTGGCAAGCCGAGATAAGCAAGAAATGCATAATACTTGCTCACTCACCTCTCAAGCCGCTGTAAATTGTGCCCCCCCACCCCCGAAGCTGTGTCAAACTGCCCCTATAAAAAATGTGTAATTGTACTGCTCGGGGCCGCATTCCGTTAAGGGGTGTTGGTCCTGGCTGGCCGGTGGGTCGGTCGGTCAGTCAGTTGCCTTACCTCTCATTTATAATAAAACTTTGTTGTGACTGTCACTGGTGAATGTTACATTGTGTTTTACACAGTGAAGGTTAATGAGATCACCAAGCCCTGGGAGAAGCTACCCTTAGGTGTTCATGCCATCAGCCTGCCCTGCACGGGCCGCGCCCGGGCTTTCCGTCCCCGGGCTGCAGGAACCAGCCAAGGCGAAAAGAGGGAAGCCCGGCCCCGGCAGGTCCGCGGTGCAGGGTGCACGCGGACGCGGGGCTGCGGGAGCTGACCCGCGCCCAGGGACCGAGCGAGCCGGCCGGCTGCAGCACGCGGCGCCCGCCCAGCCCGGAGCATCCCCGCCCACTTGGCCGGAAGCAGAGCGGCGCCCACGGCGCAGGCCCCGGGCTGGCCGACACTTCTGGAACAAGGCCCGGGAAGTGCGGGCGGATCCCCGGCTCGGGGCTCTGCGGGACGCGCCCGCCTCAGCCGTTGAGGGCGGAAGTAACGGCCGGCGGAGCCCCGACCCCGACAGCCGGGACACGGCCGACAAGCAGGAAACTCCGGGCGCGAGGCCGCTAGGCCCCGGCGGCGCGGCGGCGGCGGCGGGAGGCGGGCCTCGCGTTCCTTGGGCAGCTGATTGGTCGGCTTCCGACGGTGGCGACAGCGGCGGCGCGTAACTCGCCTCAGGTTCCGGTGAGTCCGGGGTTCGAGGCCGGTCCCCACCGGTTCCCGGGTTATCCTTCGTAGCTGCATCTAGGGGCTCCCGGGGCTTCACCTGGCGGGGTCGAGCTTGGCGGGGGCCACCTCTGGGTTTCTTCCCGTTGTCTGCGTTCCGGGGTTTCGGAGGAGGACCCCTCAGGGGCTTGTGGTGGGGGGAGGGGCGAGTCGTGTAGGTCCCGGAGGACCTCCGTTCTAAAAAGAGCCCTTGCCGGGGGCTGGCAGAGCGGCCCGGCGAGTTGGGGGAGTTGGGTAGAGAGACGTGCAGGACTCCTGGATCTGGAACTGGGGGCACCTGCGGAGGATGGCCTGGCTGGGCGGGGGTGGGACCCCGCAGCGTGCTTGGAGGCTGAGCGACCTAGAGCTGAGATCCATGCACAGGGAATGGGTGGAAAAGCACGTGTAAGAATACAGGACTTGAAAAAAAATTACTTTTATTTGACTAGGTGGATTTCTTTAAGATTTATTTATATTGGAAAGTCAGATTTACAGAGAAGAGGAGAGAGAGAGAGATCTTCAGTACACTGGTTCACTTTCCAAGTGGCCACAACAACTGGAACTGAGCCGATCTGAAGCCAGGAGCTTCTTCCAGGTCTCCCATGTGAGTGCAGGGTCCCAAGGTTTTGGACCATCCTTGACTGCTTTCCCAGGCCACAAGCAGGCAGAAGTGGAAGGAAGTGGCGTAGCTGGGACTTGAACTGGCATCCATATGGTGCTGGTGCTGCATGCAGAGGCTTAACGCAGTATTTCTTGCTGGGGGAGGACTTTGTGGGTCTTGGCATGATAACGTTGCTTTGGGAAACATTAAAATTTGTAGATCCCTGCACGGTGGCCTACCACCTAAAATCCTTGCCTTGAACACACCAGGCTCCTGTAAGGGTGTTAGTTCTAATCCCAGCATCCCTGCTTCCCATCCAGCTCCCTGCTTGTGACCTGGGAAAGTAATCGAGGATGGCCCAAAGCTTTGAGACCCTGTATTAGTGTGGGATACCCAGTGGAAGCTCCTGGCTCCGGATCGGCACAGCATCAGCCGTTGCGGTCACTTGGGGAGTAAACCATCAGACAGAAGATCTTCCTGTCTCTCCTCCTCTCTGTATATCTGCCTTTCCAATAAAGATAAATAATTTTTTTTTTAATGTTGTAAAAATTTAACCATGGGAATGTTCAGGCTTACACAGAGGTACAGACAAGAGGATGCACCAGCATCTGGTTTGGGGTGGAGCTGGGTCCCAAGAACTCATCTTGGGGTCGCAGTAGTCATCTCAGCTTGTCCCCACTTCACATTGCTAGTATGTTATGACCTAGGTCAGAACCACAGGCACTGTGTAAATCTTTATTTGAAAAGCAGAGTTAGGGAGAGAAAAACATCTTCCGACCACTGACTCACTTTCTTGATCTTGACAGGGCTGGGCCGGTCAGGAACCAGGAGCCTGGAGGTCCATCCAGTTCTCCCATTGAATGGCAGAGCCCAGGCTTTTGGGGGACATGTCCTGCTGCTTCCCAGGCAATGATCAGGGAGCTGGATTCAAGGTGGAGCATCTGGGATTACAGATGCTTGTATGGGATGCTGTTGCAGATGGCAGCTGAATGCACTGTGCCTGAAGGCTGGTCCCCCACTGTGTAGGTCTTTAAAGCTGTGTCCTGGGAAGACCTCCTCCATCTAGGCCAGTGTTGGGGGTAGTGGCAAGGATTCAGGACAGAGGGATCGGAGTTGGCTTTGTTGAACACACTGCATGGAAGCAGTAGGCAGGCAGGTGGGTGAGGAGGCCAGTGGGGAGCTGACTGAGGGTGATAATCTGGGAGACTGTCTAAGGCAGCTGGCCACTGGTGTGGGGTCTTTCCCTCACTGGTGAGTCTCATGTTGTTGCAGGTCTTACGAGGGACTGGGTTATTAAGGGCCCACCACAGGATGTTGGTGACATGGCAGGAAGAATATGCTTGACCCTGCTGAACAGTATACCTAAAAAAGATTCACATGGCAGATTACGTGTTATGTATATCTTATCATATGTTTAAATTCTGTTTATTTTGTTGAGAAGACAGATTGTTGGAAAGGGAGAGACAGAAAGTGCTTTGTCCGCTGTTTCACTCCCCAACTGGCTGCAACAGCCAGAGCTGAGCTGATCCGAAGCCTGGAGCTTCTCCCTGGTCTCCCACATGGGTGCAAGGTCTCAACACTTTGGGCTGTCTTCAACTGCTTTCCCAGCCCACAGACAGGGAGCTGGATGGGAAGTGGAACAGCCAGGGCACCAACCTGTGTTTTTCGGGGATGTCAGCACTTGAGAGGAAAAATCAGCCAATTGAGCTTTGGCCTAGGCCCTCACTTCTAATTGTTTTTCAGTATCTGAGAAGAGCAGCTTAGGAGGATATTAGGTTTATTTCAGTACAGAATGAAGTGACCCATTGGTTAAGGCAACTGCTGAGGCTGGAGGATGGTGAATGGTCTGTCCCAGGATGTGAGAGGCAGAGGCCTGTAGGGAGCATACGCTTGGTCCATGCCTTCTCTGCTGACGGTGATGTGCTGGGCCAGGGTGCTGTGCCACAGGCAGCCATGGAATTCAATGCAGTCAGGTTCTGAAGGCCTCACCTTGAGATGCTGTGATTGGGTCAAGCTTCCATTCTAACCTGCCCACCGTTAGTGTTAATGTGTTAACCTCCTCCAGCACTCAGAGACGGAAATGTCTGCATGTGTTCTTCTGGCCGATGAGATGGCATTCTGATGTGGAGGCTCTGGGACACGCCTTTGTGCGGGAACTCAGCCTGTGCCCTCTGCTTTACATGGGAGCCAAAGGCTGGTCAGCTCAACCTGCTATGTGACACTATTCCTACGTCCCTGCTTTTCTGGATGTAAGTCATCCATCCCTTTCGCCCCCCAAGGGCACTCCTGTGTCCCTCGGACCGTTTCTTCCAGGAGTGTGAGGAAAGTGCAAAGCCACCTGTCCACCTGCTTTCTTTAGCCTCACCTGGTAGTGTCTCCAACCTGCCAGCCACTCCCCGTGTCCCAGTGTACCACAGCTAAGTCCTCATTCCTGGAGCTGTGGGACATGGCTGTTAGGAAGCCTCTTGCATCTGAGCTCTTTTGTTTTGTTTGATTGTTTTTAAGATTTACTTATTTTTATTGGAAAGGCAGATTTGCAGAGAGGAGGAGAGACAGAGAGGAAGATCTTCCGTCCATTGGTTTACTCCCCACGTGGCCATAACAGCCAGAGCTGAACCAATCTGAAGCCAGGAGCTTCTTCCAAGTCTCCCACGCGGGTGCAGGGTCCCAAGGCTTTGAGCCGTCCTCCACTGCTTTCCCAGGCCACAAGCAGGGAGCCGGATGGGAAGTGCAGCAACTGGGACATGAACTAGCGCCCATATGGGATGCTTGTGCATGGAGATGGAGGATTAGCCAGTAGAGCCTATCTTGCTGGCCCCACCTCCAAGCTCTTTTCCAAATGTGTCTCACTTGGGGGAGCCCCAAACCTTCCTCCTCACCCAAAGCCGGAAAGTGAGAACTAGCTGGTTTGGGCTTGGGGTTCCCCCTGTCTTCCTCCAACAAACCCCAATACCTAAAACTGAATTTTCTTTGTTTCCTTTTTTTTTTTTTTAATAAAGACTTATTTTACCTGAAAGTCAGATTTACAGAGAAATGGAGAGAAATATTTTTAATCCACTGGTTCACTCACCAAGTGACCGCAACGGTCAGAGTTGAGCCAATCTGAAGCCAGGAGCCCTTTAGCTTCTTCCAGGTCTCGCATGCAGGTGCAGGGTCCCAAGTGTTTGGGTCATCCTCAACTGCTTTCCCAGGCCACATACAGAGAGCTAGATGGGAGCAGCTGGGACATGAACCAGTTGCCGTAAAAGTTCCTTTTGCATGCAAGGTGAGAACTTTGGCCACTAGACTATTGCTCCATTACCCTGAATTTTCTTAATATGAGCTACTATTTAATAGTGAATTAAACAACTAAGCAGACTATTCTATAGCTTCAGCGTCTGGCCCAATGTTTAGGACTCCCACGCCCCACATGCCAGTATTTAGGGCTGGGGTTGGTGCCCGCCTCAGCTTTCTGCTAACGTGCATCTTTGGCTGCAGCCATGGTGACTCGAGTTCCTTCACCCACATGGGAGTCCTGGCTTGAGTTTTGCCTTTGTGTCTTGGGGAGGGAACCGGTAGATGGGAGCTGACTTGTCAACTCCCTGTCTCTCAAATAACAGTTAAACACAATGAATTGGGTGGAACTTGCCTTAAAGAATTGTATTATAGGGCCCGGCGCGGTGGCGCAAGTGGTTAAAGGTCCTCGCCTTGCACGCCCAGGATCCCATATGGGCACCGGTTCTAATCCCGGCAGCCCCGCTTCCCTTCCAGCTCCCTGCCTGTGGCCTGGGAAAGCAGTCGAGGACGGCCCAGGGCTTTGGGAACCTGTACCCGCGTGGGAGACCCGGAAGAGGCTCCTGGCTTCGGATCGGCATAGTATCGGCCCGTTGCGCTCACTTGGGGAGTGAATCATCGGACGGAAGATCTTCCTCTCTGTCTCTCTGTATATCTGCCTTTCCAATGAAAAAATAATAAAAATAAATCTTTAAAAAAAAAAAAAGAATTGTATTATATATATAATATAGTTATCTGCTGGTTATTCCCGAAACGGTAGCTATAACTGAGTCTGGGCTTAGCCAAAATCACAAGCTGGAACCGTGGCCAGCTCTCAGGTCATGTTGCACTGCTTTCCCAGGCCACTGACAGGAAGTTACATCAGAAGTGAAGTAGCCCAGACTCGAACTGCCACACGGTATACTAGTGTTGTGAGGCGCACAGTGCCTGCCCTATATTAGTTATCTAGTGACAGTTACTTATTTATTTGAAATATTTTGTCCTTTATCTTATTTTCATTACAAAGTCAGATATACAGAGAGGAGGAGAGACAGAGAGGAGATCTTCCGTCCGATGATTTACTCCCCAAGTGACCACAACGGCTGGTGCTGTGCCAATGCGAAGCCAGGAGCCAGGAACTTCTTCCGGGTCTCCCACGTGGGTACAGGGTCCCAAGGCCTTGGGCCGTTCTCAACTGCTTTCTCAGGTCACAAGCAGGGAGCTGGATGGGAAGTGGAGCAGCCGGGATTAGAACTGGCAATCATATGGGACCCTGGCGTGTTCATGGCGAGGACTTTAGCCGCTAGACCACAGCGCCAGGTCCCTATTTGAAAGGCAGTTTTTACAGAGAGGGAGAGAGATTTTTCCATCTGCTGATTCACTTCCCAAATGGCTGCAGTATCTGGGCTGGGCCAAGCAGAAGTTGCAAGCTGAGAGCCTCCCGCTTGTCTCCCTCGTGGGTTAGGGGTCTTCAGCTGCGTTTTCAGGCATCCCAGCAGGGAGCTGGATCAGAAGTGGAGCAACCAAATCTTCCACCAGCACCCATGTGGTATGCCAGCATTGCAGGTGGTGGCCTAACTTGGTGTGGCACAGTGCTGGAACCCAGGGATGGCTCTTCGGGAACTACTCAGGGCACAAATGGGGGCATCAGACCCATCCCTGGGTGCCTATGGTGGGCGAAATTAATGATGGGGTTTGTGGTGATAGGCAGCAGAGAAAGTTAGATCCAGTCCTGAGGTGAATTTGCTGGGTGATTGATGCTCAAGTTTATGAGTGTGGGCTTAGAACTATCCAGATGGTCATTATTGTGACATTTTCAGGAAATTACATTGCTAGTGCTAATAAGTAACTCCTTTACCCTCTTTTTGTTTGTTTGTTTGTTTGTTTGTCATGGAAACAATTGTGCTTGTGGATTAAATGAGGTTTAATAGGGATGCAGCAGTCAATAGCGGCCACATGTGAATTGAGTAAACTGCAGTGACTTCCTGAATAGCCCATGCTGTGTTTTCCTTTGTAGGAATGATGGAGGAGCTCAGTCAAGCCCTGGCCGGCAGCTTCTCTGTATCTCAGGATCTCAATAGCACAGCTGCCCCACACCCCCGCCTATCCCAGTACAAGTCCAAGTACAGCTCCCTGGAGCAGAGCGAACGGCGCAGGCGGCTGCTGGAGCTGCAGAAATCGTAAGGCTGTCCCCGCTCCCTGGCTCCTTTTCCCTGGGGTGTGGCGAAGGGGCCGTTCTGGAGGGACTATGCTCGTCCCAAAGGAGATAGACCCTGGGTAGGTTGGATTTCCTGCCCGTAGATTGGGTTAGTTAATGTCCATCAGGGGTGAGTGGCCTTCATAGGCCAGGGCCCAGGGGAAGCTCCTGGGGCAAGGAGAGGCTGCAGTTTGAAAGCAGACCCCGTGTTTGCAGGGTTTGCGTTTTCTGCCTTCCCTGGCAGCCCTCCAGGGCTTTGCAGTTCAGGGACTTGGGAAAGCCACACCCAGGCTCCACTCCCTGCGTGGCCTGTTTGTGTGATTCCTCCCGTACCCTCAAAGGAATCCTGGTGTCGGGGTGGTCTTCCTGCCTGCCTCCAGCCCACCTGTTTCTCTGGCGCCCTTGGGAGTTCAAGACAAATAACCGCATGGGAAATCCGAGGAAATGTCTTCCCTGCACTGGGTTCTGGGGGCCAAGAGGAGCTGCAGGGGAGACACCAGCGGAGTGGGGCGGGGCCGTGCTGCACGGAGGCGGGGCGGGGCTGGGTTCTCTGTGCAGCAGCTGCCCTGGAAGAAGCTCCTGGCTCCTTGCTTCTGATCAGTTCAGCTCCAGCTGTTGTAACCATTTGGAGAGTATAACAGCAGATGGGAGATCTGTGTGTATCTCCTCTCTGTATATCTGCCTTTCCAATAAAATAACTAAGTCTTAAAAACAAACAGAAAAGAAAGAAGAATTGATTTGAAAGGCAGAGTTGTGAAAAGAGGGAGACCAAGATGCAGCATCAGCTGGTTCATTCCCCAAATGGTTGCAACAGCCGGAAGGAGGCCATTTCAAAGTCGGCTAGGTCTCCCATGTGGAGAATGGATTGGAAGTAGGACAGCTGGGACTCAAACCAGTTCCCATATGCAATGTTGTTGTTGTAAGCAGCAGCTTAACCCGCTACATGACAACCCAACCCCAGACCTTTTTCCTTTTTCAGTACAAGTAGCAGCATATGTATATGGTATATTTCCATTCTGCATGTCATCTTTTACTGTGGCATTTTTGAGAAATGGTGTATGAGTTTAAAAGGACCACATCTTTTTTTGTTTGTTAAGATTTATTTTTATTTTTATTTGAAAGGTAAAGTTAAAAGAGAGAGAAGACGAGAGTGCTGATTCACTTCCCAAATGGCCTCTACGCCCAGAGCCGGGCCGATCTGAAGCCAGGATCCAGGAGCCTCTTCCAGCTTTCCCATGTGGACGCAGAGGCCCAATGTTTTAAGCCATCTTTTACTGCTTTCCCACACCATTGGCAGGGAGCTAGATGAAAAGTAGAACAGCCAGGACATGATCCAGTGCCTGTATGGGATGCCAGTGCTGCAGGAGGTGGTGTAGCGTACCTCAGCCACAGCACCAGCCGGCCACGTTGTTCCTGTGTGGTGCCCGGCATCCTGAGTGGGTGAGTGTCCCCCACCGACGGGCAGCTGGGTCAACGCCCCGGCTGTGATGACAAGCAGTGCTGTGGAGGCCGCCATGCAGCCTCATACTCATGTGCAAACCCAACAGCGTTCCTGGGGTGAGGGACTACTGTGCTGCCCTGTGCTCTCTTGGGGGGCAGGGCCCCTTCTCTGTAGTGGGCATGCCACCCACGTGTGTGCCAGAGGAAAGCTACTCAGAATTGGCGTCACTGCCTCAGTGGCGTTGAGTCCCTCCCTGCCTTGGCGTCAGACACATCCAGGGCAGGCATTTACGCGGTATTTCCAAATCACTTGTGGGGACAGCTGGGTTCCAGAAGGTTCTTTTCTCTCAATTTCCCAAGCTGCCTAGAACATGTAGCTTTCAAAGAAGAAAGGTGACCATAAAGGGAAAATAAATAAATAAATAAATAAATAGGCAGATAGATAAAATTCTAATGTCCTCAATGTCAGGTTTGAAAGTTGGCTGGGATGGGCCCGGCGCGATAGCGTAATGGTTAAAGTCCTCGCCTTGCACGCACCCCAGGATCCCATATGGTCACCAATTTTAATCCTGTCAGCCCTGCCTCCCATCCAGCTCCCTGCTTGTAGCCTGGGAAAGCAGTAGAGGATGGCCCAAAGCCTTGGGACCCTGCACCCGCATGGGAGACCCGGAAAAGCTCCTGGCTCTTGGCTTTGGATCAGCTCAACTCCAGCAGTTGCGGTCACTTGGGGAGTGAACCATTGGATGGAAGATCTTCCTCTCTGTCTCTGCTCTTCTCTGTATATCCAGCTTTCCAATTAAAAAAAAAAGAGAGAGAGAGAGAGAAAAGAAAAGAAAGTTGAGTTGATTGGGGTTGCTAAAAGGCCTAGATTCTCTTCAAGATGCTGTGTGAAATAGACCTGGCACAGTAGCCTAGTAGCTAAAGTCCTCACCTTGCACCGGGATCCCATATGGACACTGGTTCGTATCCTGGCTGCTTTGCTTTCTTTCCAGCTCCCTGCTTGTGGCCTGGGAAAATGATAGAGGATGGCTCAAAGCCTTGGGACCCTGCACCTCCATGGAGACCTGGAAAAAACTCCTGGCTTCCCTGACCTCAGATCAGCTCAACTCTGGTCATTGTGGCCACTTGGGGATTGAGCCAGAAGATGGAAGACCTTTCTCTTTCTCCTTCTCTCTATAAATCTGAATTTCCAATAAAAATAAATAAAGACAGAAAAAAAGAAAAAAAAATCTGCTGCATGAAGCCGAAAGCCCAGATGTTCTCCTTGGTTTAGGTGTCTCCCTTCAGCTCATCCTCTCTCCTAGCACTGGAGTTTGGGACTTTGGTGAGGCCTCAGTCCACTAGAAGGGGACAGTCCTTAAGGTCTGTTAATGTTTGGCATGGTTGCAAGGCTTGGTGATAGGCCAGATCAAAGGAATGACTTGCAGTTCCTTCCTGGTCTCCTTTGTGGATGCAGGGCCCCAAGCACTTGGGCTGTCCTCTGCTGCTTTCCCAGGCCACAGGCAGGGAGTGGGATGGGAAGTGGAGCAGCTTGGACGTGAACCAGCATTCACTAGGCATGTGGTGGCCTAACCCGCCACAAAGCTGGCCCCAGAGGTTTGCTTCTTACATGGGGTGGGTTGAACCCTCAGCTAGCACATCTTGGAAAATTCTTTTGACATTGCCCATTCTGGAGCAACTCTGAAGATTACTGAGCTTGTACAGAGGGGTTCCTGTTGAGGATCTGAAATGGTTCATTGTCAAGGTGACTGTGTGCCTGGAAGTCTGGACCCTTCAGAGACTCGCCTGCACCTGTTAGGAGAACCCTCTGTTTCCTGAAACACCAAGAAGCAAACAGGAGATGGGCAGTTCTCAGGGGGCATTAACGATTTACAGGACAGAAGTGATAAGGTCAGAAACCTGTGCTTATACATTGTTGATCTTCACTATCTGCTTTTTGCTTTGTGTCACGTAGATACCCGCTGTCATGCAGATACTTACCATAACCTCCGTCATACACTTATTTTGTTCTAGGCACTTTTTTGTTCATGGCAAGGAGTGGCCTCCTGACTGAATAATAAAGACATTTCACTTGCCTTGGAGTCTCGCTCCTTTTCGTTGAACCCCAACAGTATCTGTCAGGGGCGGCCCTGGGTGAGACTCGCTAAAGAGACCCCATCATTGCTCACTCCCAGCAGGATCCCCACATCACTCTCAAACCTGACGCTTTTGACTTGAGTGGGAGCCATTACATCACAGGCTGTTTTCCCGCGAGATGTAAAAAGCCTGTCACTCTTCCTTTCCCCAGCAAGCGGTTGGATTATGTGAACCATGCAAGGAGGCTGGCTGAAGATGACTGGACAGGAATGGAGAGTGAGAACGAAGAGGAGACGAAAAATGAGGAAGAAATGGATGTTGATCCTAGCAAGAAGCTGCCAAAACGCTATGCTAATCAGGTGAGCAGGCCTGGGTGGGTTGGTGCCGGCAGCCTCCGTCCCTCCTCCCCACAGCCTCAGCCTCTGAACGTTGCTGTCGGGAGAGATGAGGCAGGGATGTGGAAATGGAACTGTGCAGGACATGCTGTCGTGCAAAGGGTGAATGGAATGGATAGAGGGGCTGGCTCAACACTGCTGTGGCCTGGCAGGTGTCACTACGGTAGTCTGTGTAGTGGGCTTCGCATGGCTGGCCCGTGCTGTGTCCACCAGCTGCCTGCTGGCTGCAGGGACTCCCTCACCTGTGGCTTCATCATCAAGACCGTGTCTTTGTCACTCTTCAAAAATGTTTGTTTGTTTCTATCTACTTAAGAAATAGAGATAGAGAGACATCTGCTATCTGCTGGTGTACTCCTTAAATACCTGCTGCGGCCAGGGCCATACCAGAGCCCGCAGCTCAGAGCTCTCTCCCAGGGTCTTCCCCACCTGTGACTTGGGGCCCAAGAACTGGAGCAGGAAGCTGGAAGGAAACAGGAGCCAGAACTCACAGCCGTGCTCTGATATGACACAGCACCTCCCTGGCCCTTGGATTTGTGGTCTCTCCCAGGCTGGTACTATGAGGATAGGCTTACAGCCTCATGTCAACGTGGGTGGCAGGCAGGAAGCACAGCTGCCCATCCACCCCAGGCTAGCCAGCTGACCACGGTGGTTATAAAGCCCCAGGTCCCTGTAATACACCTGCCTGCGTACCTTGCTAGATCCAAGGAGGAAACCGGCTATAACACCTCGGGGGCACTGGCAGGCAGTCTCTGCTGCAGGCAGTCCCCATGTTCCAGAAGGCTGACTATGAGTCTTTGGTGGTAAGTGGTTCAGTGTGTTTTTCTATATTCTCTCTGGAACCCAAATGTGTCAATTCAGGGTCCTTCCTCATATTTAGAATTCTGTTCCTGGGTCACTGCTGGGATCTGTGTCTTGGTGTAACAGGTTAAACCTTTGCCCCTGGCTTCAGACTGCCCGTTGTAGCCATCTGGGGAACAACCCAGTGAACTGAAGGTCTCTCTTTTTCTTTCTCTCTCTGTAAAACTGCCTTTGAAATAAATACGCCTTTAAAAGAATTAAAAAGCAGGTTGAGTGTCCCTTTACCAAAAGGCTCTGGATCTGAAATATTTTCAGTTTCTGGATGTTTTGGACTTTGGCATGTCTTCACATACATCATGAGATATTGTGGGACTGGGACCCAAGTCTAAGAATTCATGTGTTTCCTGCAGCCCCAAGATGACTTTAGACAACATTTTCTAGTGTGCCTGTGGTTCAGCTGTGACCTGGCACGTGAGGTCCAATATAGAGTTTTCCACATGGGTGCTCCCGGGTACTCAAAACATTTCAGATTTTGGACCATTTGGATTTCAGGTTTTTTTATTTGACATGCCCCACGTTTGGTTAACAAAGTGGATTGGTTGACAGGAATGCTAACTCACCACAAGCTTTAAAAAAAAAAAAACAAAGAAAAAGATGGCGAGCTACCCTGCGCTGGTTCTCTCCGCAGATGCCAGCAGTGGGCTGGAGTGGGCTTCGGGGAAGAAGCAGTTGGCTGGGATGAAGTCTCAGAGGGATGGACTCAGGAAGATTTTCACCACCCCATTTCCTAACCAGAAGATGGAAGATCACCCTCTATTTTCTTCTTTCTCTGTAATCTGCCTTTCAAATAAATTTTTTTCCCAAGGATTTGTTTGAAAGAGTTACAGATAAAGGCCCTGTGACTTAGCCTAGTGGCTATGCACCGGAATCCCATATGGGTACCAAATCATGTCTCAGCTGCTCCACTTCCCATCCAGCTCCTTGCTTGTGTTAGAGTCCGGGCCAGAGCTCCCCGCCCGGACATTAGGGTGCGAGCTAGTCAACCCCCAGAAAACGACAAAGAGTCTTGCTGGTAATGCAAAAAGCAAATAGAGTTTATTGTGCCAGCATGCTGGGGTCAGATCGTACTTGGGGCACACAGGCCAGCCAAGTGGATCGGACCCCGACTTAATACAAGGCTGGAGATTATATACCCCGTCTTGGCTGTAACATATATCAAAGTCAACTCAAAAGTAACAAATTTAGGTGCAAGCAATCTGTTCCATTCTCACACTCATTATTTATGTTCCCACACTTATTGTTTACATTCCCACACTTATTATTTACGGCTCATCCCATCCTGACACCCTTGTCTTTATGGCTCCTCCCGTCCCTGGGGCCGGGGAACTGTGCCCCTGCCTTCCTGTACCTGGGTTAGATGGTAGATAAAGAAACAAGGAAGACAGATTTATCACTGAAGTGGAGCTTTCCCACAGTTCAGGCGCCTTCTGACCTAGCGAAGTAGTGGCTTCTCACCCAAAAGGGCCTAATATCACCTAACACTAATATTCTTAACATTTTAACATAGTAACATTATACTAATACTCTAACACTTGTGGCTTGGGAAAGCAGTTGAGGATGGCTCAAAACCTTCGGACCCTGTACCCACGTGGGAGACCTGTAAGAGGCTGCTGACTCCTGGCTTTGGAGAAGCTCAGCTCTGGCCATTATGGTCACTGGGAGTGTGAACCAGCAGATGGAAAATCTCTCTGTCTCTTCTCTGTGTAAATTTAACTTTCTAAGAACAAATAAATATATATATTTTTTTAATTAAGTTTAAAATGTTTTTAGAAACAAATAAAAGTTACAGACACAGAAAGAGATGGAGAGGCAGAGAATCAGAGACTTCATCCAGGTGACCTCCGTGGGCCGTCTTCTGCTGCCTTCCCAGACACATTAGCCAGGAGCTGAATCAGAAATAGGGCAACCAGATTTTGAACTAGTGCCCATATGAGATGCCATTATCGCAGGCGGCAGTTTAGCCTACAGTCCCAGGCCCCTTCACTTAGACAACTTTAAACAAAAACACTTTAAACAAACAAATTTATTGTATTCATTCCAAAGGCAAAGTGATAGAGGAAGAGAGAGAGCTCTTCTATCTGCTGGTTCATTCCCCAGGCCAAAGTCAAGAGTTCTTAACTCCACTGGGCGGCAAGGGCCCTAGTCCTTGGGCCATCAGCAGCTGCCTTCCCAGGCACGTTCGTAGGGAACTGCATCAGAAGAACAGCCAGGTCCCAGACTCACACCCTGGTATGAGATGTGGGAATTGCAGGCGGCAGCTTAGCTCACTGCAGCGCAGTGGAGCCTCTCTCCCCTCCCCATCTTCCTCACTTGTACTTTTCTTGCAGTGGAAACCATGAGGTTGTTACACACGCCCAAGCAGCACAGTCCCACTATAACACACTTTTTTGTTGTTGTTATTGATCCTAGTTGATGCTCTCAGAGTGGCTGATTGATGTTCCTTCAGATTTGGGACAGGAATGGATTGTGGTCGTGTGTCCCGTGGGAAAAAGAGCCCTCATTGTGGCCTCGAGGGTGAGTAGCAGCAGTTCGGCTGCAGTGCAAGGGCCTTCGTGGCCTGCCTGTTCCTTGCTTCCCCACTGGAGGGAGTTGAGGCCACAACTGACGGGGGTCCCACTTGCCTGGCTTTGTCCCCACACAGGGTTCCACTAGCGCCTACACCAAAAGTGGCTACTGTGTCAACAGGTTTCCTTCCCTTTTGCCAGGAGGCAACAGGCGGAACTCGACGACAGCCAAAGGTACTTGCATCTGTCACGTACTTCTCATGTTTGCTAATGTGAAAGACCACATAGCACCTTCTTGTGAAGACCCACATCGCAACCAGACCTTTGAAACCAGACAGACGCTGTCCTGGGCCCCCTGGTCTCCCCTCCCCTTCCTGATCATCTCTGCCCCTCCCCAGTTGCTAAGCCCCCTATCCCTGAATTAAGGCCTTTGAACTTCCATTGAGGGGATAATAGGGTGTGGATTCTGGGGTCAGATCGCAGGGAGAGTGCCAGGTGTTAGGTTTAGGAGGGCCTTGCATTTTCTCTGTTCCTTCCCTTGTGTGAACCTCCGCTCTTCCCTCCCACCAGAATCTGGCTGAGCAGGACAAGGAGCTTGAAAGATTGTCTTGTGGTCACACTGAGAAGAGCCAGCAGGGCTGCACCCACACCTTATTCTCTGCTCACTCCGACACCCTTGGAAGTTGCTCTTGGGCTTTTTTACCACCTGGCACAAGCAGGCTTCGGCCCACCTGTCCCCCTGTCTCTTCCCTGTCTCTTGTGCTCAGCCTCTACTCAGCTGTCCTGTGCCAGGCTCCCCTCCTGGGCTGGCTTCATTCGCCCTCCAGGCCCTGGCTTCTGCTGCTTTGGCACATGGGTCTAAATACCCTCTCTTCTCCTTGCTGTCCCATTGGTTATTTTATTATTATTTTTTAAAGATTTATTTATTGGAAAGTCAGATATACAGAGAGGAGGAGAGACAGAGAGGAAGATCTTCCGTCCAATGATTCACTCCCCAAGTGAGCGCAACGGCTGGTGCTATGCTGATCCGAAGCCAGGATCCAGGAACTTCTTCCGGGTATCCCACACGGGTGCAGGGTCCCAAAGCTTTGGGCCATCCTCAACTGCTTTCCCAGGCCACAAGCAGGGAGCTGGATGGGAAGTGGAGCTGCCAGGATTAGAACCGGCGCCCCTATGGGATCCTGGGGCGTTCAAGGCAAGGACTTTAGCCGCTAGGCCATGCCGGGCCTGGTTATTTTTATTTTTAAGATTGATTTATTCCAAGAGCAGAGTGACAAAGATAGATGGTTTCCATCTGCCGATTCTTTCACCAAGTGGCTACAACAGCAAGGGCTGGGCCAGGCCGAAGCCAGGAGCTCAGAACTTTCTCCAGGTCTCCCCCATGAGAGGCAGGGACCTGAGTGCTTGGGCCACCCTCTGCTGCCGCCTTAAGCACATTAGCAAGAAGCTGAGCAGCTGGGACAGACACTGATATGGGATGGTGAATTGTAAGCGGCAGCTTAAGTGGCTGCACTGCCTCTCTCACCCTTCGCCCATCTTTTCATTCTTGCTGGTCCTGGAAGGGTCTCTCCAGGAGGTTTTTCTTGCTGCTCCTGTCCTCTTGGGAGAGCTCTGGATGCTCCTAGTGTGTGCCATAGAATTTACCTCCATCTTTTCTTCTGTGGTCAGATCGCCTCTGTTACTAGATTAAGACTTTTTTTTTTTTTTTTTTAGATTTAGTTATGTATTTGAAAGAGTTACAGGGAAAGGAGGAGACAGAGATCTTCCATCTGCTGCTTCACTCCACATATGGCAGCAGGGGGGGTGGGCCAAGTCAAAGCCAGGAGATTGATCTATTCTCCCCACGTGGGAGCAGAGGCCATCTTCCGTTGCTTTTCCCAGGCCATTAGCAGGGAGAGCTGGGTTGAAAGTGAAGCCGCCAGGACTCTGGCACTCATATGAGATGCTGGGTGTTGTAGGTGGTGGCTTAGCCCATTATGCCACCATGCCCGCCATGACTACAACTGTTTCTTCTTTTTTTAAATTTCAACTTCTTAAAGGCATAGCCTGCTCATAGTTAGTATTCCCCGGTAACACAGTGTCTGTGATTAGGAATGCCAAACATCTTTGCAGACTGAAGTGGAAACAGCTTGCTGTCAGGCTTGAGCTGCCTGCTGTAGGATGAGTAAATATCTCAGTTTGTTGGAAGGTTCCAGATTCAGAGTCGGCTCAGGGAGTTGTATGCTTTCCTATCTACCACCCCCTGTGTGCTGCTGGCCTCTGGGAGCTGCAGGGGCCAAAATGGGTTCTCTGTCCCACGGGCTGGTGGTTGTTGCCCACCTTGAGCGTGGGTCAGGATGGAGTAGGGATGTGGGGGACCTCTGGATTGTGGGGGCTGTTGAACCAGCTCTGACTTGTGCTTTTGGGCTGCAGATTACACCATTCTGGACTGTATCTACAGTGAGGTGAACCAGACCTACTATGTGTTGGATGTGATGTGCTGGCGCGGCCACCCATTCTATGACTGCCAGGTAAGGTTCGGCTCTCTGTCCCCCGTCCTGGCAGTGCCACTGGTTTTTGGGCCCGTGCAGGATGTGGTATGTCATTAGCTAACATTCCCTGAGTCTTCCAATTTAAATTAGTGTCATTTTAAAAAAGAAACGGGAGTAGCCAAGAGAAGTGCAGCAGTTGAGAGGATGAAAGAGGAATAGCAGAGATGTGGGCCAGCTGGGCCTGGTGGCAGATACAGCCATCTCTCACCTCGAGTCTGCAGGGAGGAGTGTGGGTCCGGGGTGGAGATAGGGCAGAGAGGCAGGATCCACCAAACAGATGTCTGTCACCTTCTGTCCCTCACTAGCCACCTCCTGGGCCTGGCACTGGTGGTGGTTACTTGGTGAACCCTGAGTCCTCAGATCTCGAAGGCTCCACTTTGGGAGCTATCCTCCAGTCTGTACCTGCTGGCTTCACTCTCCCTGCACCCTGCATTTTTCTCACACTAGGGATGGTTGCTGGCAGCCCCAGTAGTTGGCAGAGTGAGGTTAGGTGAGCCTCTGGGGCCAGTGCACCTCTGTCATCATCCCGGTGGCTTGCGCAGGCCCTCTGTGCTACTCCTGGGCATTATAACCACACAGTCTCAGGCCCGATGACCCAGGAGCCAGGTGGGTTTCACACGGGCTCACCACGCTGGGTACCCACACATGCTGGGTAGTCGCATTTCAGTCTGACAGGCAGTGGTTGTTGGGGTCTGCATGGCCAAGCCCTGGGTGGGCCACACCTCATTGAGCATCTCCTAGCAGCATAGCAGGCAGCTGCCATTATTGACCACCCATAGGAGCCACACCAGAGCGCAGCCCAGCTGGGGCTCCGTCCCTATCCTCAAGATCTGTTGAAGAAGGTGGGTTTTATTGTGGAGGTTTTTTTTGTTTGTTTGTTTTGTTTTTGTTTTTAATAAACTAGTAGTTCCTTTTTATTTATGTTTTTTAAAGATTTTTTTTTATCGGAAAGTCAGATATACAGAAAGGAGGAAAGAGAGGAAGATTTTCCGTCCAATGATTCACTCCCCAAGCGGTCACAACAGTTGGAGCTGTGCCAATCCAAAGCTAGGAGCCTGGAGCATCTTGCGCGTCTCCCATGTGGGTACAGGGTCCCAAGGCTTTGGGCTGTGCTTGACTGCTTTCCCAGGCCACAAGCAGGGAGCTGGATGGAAAGTGGAGTGTCTGGACTGGCACCCATTTGAGATGGCCTGCTTGGAGGTGGAGAATTAGCCAGTTGAGCCACGGCTCCAGCACCCCATCCCTTCCTTTCCAGCTTCCTGCTGATACGCCTGGGAGCCAGCAGGTGATGCATGGTACACCCGGACTCAGTTCACAGCTCCAGGCTTCAGCCTTGGCTGATGTTAGTATTTGGAAAGTGAACCAGTAAATGAGAGATTCTCTCTCCTTCTCTCTGTTTCTGTCAGTCTTTCAATTTAATAATAGTGATGATGATATTGATGATGTTTATGTTGATACAAAAACATGTTAACATCTGTGCTGCATGTTAACATGTGTTGTTAACACATGTTGTGTGTTAACAACATGTCCTGTCTGAGGCTTCCTGTCTGCATGGAGCCTCCTGCTGGCGCTAGCTCCAGGCTGGTTCACACCCCCACCACCCCACCCCTACCTCCAAGATTTTAAGACCATGGTCTCCAGGGAGGCCACACAGCCTGATTCCAACTCATGACTTGAAGGAGAGTGTGGTTAATGCCAGAAGGGCTCGGGTCTTTGGAAGTCAGGCAGCTATTCAGACAGATTGCTTGTGTCCTCCTGGAGTGGGGTACATGGTGTTTCATCTCTGTTTCTTTCCTCCATGGCAGACCGATTTCCGGTTCTACTGGATGCATTCGAAGTTGCCAGAAGAAGAAGGGCTGGATGAGAAAACCAAGCTGAATCCCGTAAGCCCTGGTGTGGGGCACTGCTTTAGCTCGGAGTGGTCCCTGGGAAGGGTGTCTCCTCTGGGGCAGCATGGTGTAATGGGAAGGGTGCAGCCTGAGAACTGTTCACATTGGAACCCTGCCTTAGCCTTAGTAATGTCCAGGTTCATATTCTTGGATGTTAGCTTCCTCCTCTGCAAGGTAGGGTTACCATCCCCTAATCTACATGGTTACCTTAAGAACCAAATGACAGGGCCCAGCCTGGTAGCCTAGTGACTAAAAGTCCTCGCTTTGAATGCACCGGGATCCCATATGGGCACTGGTTCATATACTGGCTGTTCTACTTCCCATCCAACTCCCTGCTTGTGGCCTGGGAAAGCAGTCGAGGACGGCCCAAAGTTTTGGGATCCTGCACTCATGTGGGAGACCCAGAAGAAGCTCCAGCTCTTGGCTTTGAATTGGCTCAGCTCCAGCCATTGCGACCACTTAGGGAGTGAATCAGCAGGTATAAAATCTTTCTCTCTGTCATTCCTCCTCTCTGTAAATCTCACTTTACAATAAAAATAAATAAATAAATCCATATGGGATCCAGGAGCCTACAAGGGAAGGATTTAACCACTTAGCAATTGTGCCGAGTCCAAAGCTTTTATTTTTTTATTTATTTGAAAGGCAGAGCTACAGAGAGCGTGGGGTCTTCCATTCACTGATTCATTCCCAAATGGCAGCAATGCCTGGGACTAGGCCATATTGAAATCAGGAGCCCAGAGCTTCTTTTGACTCTCCTTCAGGGGTCTAGAGGCTCAAGGACTTTTGCCATCTCATGCTGTTGACCCACGTGCATTAGCAGGGAGCTGGATCAGAAATGGAATAGCTGAATCTTAAAATGGAGCACATATGGGATACTGACACTAGATGTGGCAGCTTAGCTAGCTACACCACAGCACCAACCCTGGACTTTGATTCTTCATGTCCGGCTGTCATCAGCAGCACCTGGAAACATGATAGAATACAAACTGCCGGGCCTCACTCTCAGAGCTCCTAATTCAGTTGCACTAGGCCCGGGCTTGGCCATCTGTATTCCCTGCAGGTTCCCCAGTGTTGCTGAGGCCACCCAGAGGTGCTGCTCTCATGCATTAGTTGGGTGTGCCCACCTCTAGCTAGACCCTTTGTGTCTGCAGTAAGGGGGCTGCTTCTGCTGGGTCCTTCAGGCCCGAAGGTGTCTTACTACTCTTTGTAGTGATTCAAATATGTGATGGAGATTTTTCAGGGCATTTTGTAAGATGTATTTATTGAAACCTCAAGTCAGAGAAATCTTCCATCCATTGTTTCACTCTTGAAATGGTCACAATGGCTAGGGTTGGGCCAGGCCAAAGCCAGGAGCAGGTGCAGATCTCCCACATGGGTGACAGGGTTCCAAGCCTTGGCCCGGCTTCTGCTTCTCGAAGCCAGACCGCAGCCCTGTGAAGTAGATGCTTGTGTTGTTTTATTTGACAGGGGGGACATGGAGGCATGGAGATGGTAATGGGCAGAGGTGGGATTTAAGCAGCTATGCCCTAATACCATGGATAAAGCACTTTGGTTTAAACCTCCTCTCTGTTGTGACCAGGGTCTTGTGAGTAGGAGCACCTGTCTTGGCTGGGTTGAGCAGTACCCATCTGTCAACCCTGTCAGCTTCAGCTGCGTATTAACATTAACCACAGAACCCAAGAAACGCAGCCAGGGCCCACCCGAGAGCACTGCAGCAGAATCCAGGAGCGGCCTGGGCATCATTGCTTTTATTTTAGGATGTATTTTGTTTTTATTGGAAAGCCAGATCAGATTTACAGAGAGGAGGAAAGACAAAGAGAAAAAGCTTCCATCTGCTGGTTCACCCCCCAAATGGCCACAATGGCCAGAGCTGAGCTGATCTGAAGCCAGGAACCTGCAGCTTCTTCTGGGTCTCCCACATTGGGTGCAAGATCCCAAGGCCTTGGTCCATCCTCGACTACTTTCCCAGGCCACAAGCAAGGATCTGGATGGAAATTGGAGCAGCTGAGACACAAACCAGGGTCTGTATCGGGTCTGGGTGTTACATGGTGAGGATTTAGCCATTAAGCCATCATGCCAGACCCAATCATTAACTTCCTTAAAAAGAACTTTTGATTAAGGGGAGACAAGAGGAGAAGTAGAGAGATTTGGACTATCTTCTGCTGCTTTTCCCAGGCCATGAGTGGAGAGCTACATCAGAAGTGGAGCAACTGGGGCTCAAACCAGTACCCATATGGGCTGCTGGCATGCAGGCAACTGCTTTAAATGCTGTCCGGCAAGGCTAGCCCTACCAGCAACTTAAAAAAGAAAGAAAAAAGCTCCCCCAGCTAGTTCCTGTGCTTAAAGGGAGGTTGAGAACCACTGACCGTGTGGTTTAGGGTGGAAGCAGAGGGGAGGGTGGGCCTGAGAGCTTCTCCTTGTCAGAGGGTTTTTTTTTTTTTTTTTTTTTGCCTGTATAACACTGCATATTCTTTGTTCTGATTTATGTCTCAGTTCAAGTTTGTGGGGCTGAAGAACTTCCCTTGCACCCCCGAGAGTCTGTGCAAGGTGCTGTCCATGGAGTTCCCTTTTGAGGTAAAACCTTCCCTATGGGGTATGACAGAGGGCGCCTCACAATGCTGCCTCTTACTGGGGAGTCTGGGGGCGCTGGGCAGCAGGCCTGGAGCAGCAGCACATGTGCAGATGGAAACAAGACCCTGAGAGGATGGGCAGAGACTACCACTCCCACCCAGATCCTTCTTATCTGCTTCTTCCTGCCAGGATCCGAGACCCACGCCCCTCGCTTGCCTGTCGGGGAGGCTTGTAACGCACTGGGCCGTGGGAGGCCGCCTGTGCTGGGCAGCATGCGGCTGCTGCTCCAGTGTGCCTGCGTGCTGCCCCATTTAAGCTCTGACAGCTTCACAGCCCGTGTAACGCCTGTGTCATCCCCTCAGCACCTGTGGGCCCCACAGCCCGATTTCCCTGGCCTTGATACCTGCCCATCCTATTCCTCAGAAGGTGCAGCTGCCCCTGGGGTGGAAGTGGCCCCACCCTGAAGGCCCTGCCTTCCCTGCTGGGAGTCCATTAAGAAATTTGTAATAACGCTGTTCTCTTTACAATGTGTGCCTGGTGACAATAAGTGCCTCTTAGGAATGAGTCACTGCCAGAAAAACAATGTGGGCCTACACAGGTCCTCCCTCTTGGAAGTGCTGTTTCCCAGAACATAGCTTGCAGACCATTTGAGGGGGGTTGGGAAGGAGGGGAACAGGGATCCGGAAAGTCCCTCTCACCCCTGCTTGGCTATGCAGCACCTGCTAGGTACGAGGTTCAGTGCGATTGGCTTCAGACTCCCTGGGCCGCCCCATCTCCCAGACACCTTCCCAGTAGCTAAGAGCGTGATGCGATGGGTAGGAAAACACCCTATAAACAAGGCAAGAAGTAAGGACTCCTCTTGCTCCAGGTGTGAGCTGACAGAATGCGTTGTCATTCCCGGTTTCCCCTCTTATAGGTAGACGGCCTTCTCTTCTACCACAAGCAGACCCACTACAGCCCCGGGAGCACGCCCCTGGTGGGCTGGCTGCGCCCCTACATGGTGTCGGATGTGCTCGGGGTGGCCGTGCCGGCCAACCCGCTCACCACCAAGCCCGAGTACGCCGGACAGCAGCTACAGCAGATCATTGAACACAAGAAGAGCCACAAGGAAGCCCTCCAGGAGGAATGCACACACAGAGCTGCTGAGAATGGGCGCTATGAGCTGGAGCACCTGTCCACACCCACGCTGCAGAGTCCTCCCCTGAGCCCAGACAGCCCTGGGAGCCTCATGGAGAACTGAAGGGGCCCCCCAATAGCCCCAGGATAATGCCCAGCACTGGCATTGCAGCAGGTGGAGCTCACATGAGTGACAGATCCTGGACCTTTGTGCTGATAGCCACCTGCCTTCTCTCTGAAATGCTGGCTCAGCAGCAAGGAGGACCCGAATGAGGATGACATTCAGGTGGCCCACCCAGACTCGTGATGTAAATACAGGAGATTCTTAAGAACGGGGCTGTGTGAGTCTTTGGCTTTAGACAGCCACAGGTCTTCCCCAGCTCCCCTCCCTGCAGGCTCTGAACCGTGACTATGCTAACCTTGGCCTGCATCCCTCTCTCTCAGAACACTCAGACCTGCTGCTGGGTTTCCAATAGCCTCTGCTGCTAACGTCATTTTCTGAAAGGTCTTACCAGGAAGTGCAGTTCTGGGTATCTCAAAGTGTTCTCGCTTCTGAGAAGACAAGTGTGATTTTCTTTGGTTTAGACGCTGCCGGAGATAAAGTGCACACAGAATCCATTGGGTCCTCTGCGGATGTGTCAGTTGGTGATGGGCCTGCCCCTGCTGCTGCACTACCCCCGCCCCAAGGTTGCAGTTTGGTGCTGAGGTGACAGGGCTGAGTCCCTGCCCTTGAGCTTACAGGCAGCCCGGCAGCATGCAACTGCAGGGTGGCGAGGTGACTGCTCTGGGGCAGGATGTGTACAGAGCTGGGGCGATGGGTGGGAGGAGAAGTATAGCCAGGTCGAGGCTCTGTGGGGTCCACTGCATTCCCTGCTGGCCCAGCACAGAGGAATCTCCCCAGGGCTAGGCCCATGCGCAGCTGTGCATGGAAACCGATGCAGGGTTCACATTTCTCAAGTGTGTGAAGGAGGACGAAGAGAGCTGAAAGAGGAGGCTGGTGTGAGATGATAGGTTGACGGAAAGGAGTCCAGTGAGAGCCCTGGACAGGCAGGAGGCCTCCAGAACCCTGAACTTGATCAAGCCCGTTGGCTGTGATGGGAGAGAGGGCATCCAAAAGGAACCACACCATTTCTGCTCGGTGATCAGAGAGGTGTCCCGTGTCCTGTGCCCTCAGACTTTCCTACTTTCCTTGCTGGGACTTCTGGCCAAAAGTACAGAGGGCTCCAGGTCTGATCTGCTGGACATGCAGTTGTCCCGCCCTGTGTTGATTCATTTGGGGAGCAGATCCGGTAGGAACTGTAGCTAAAAGGGCCTGGTTGTGCCACTTGAGCACGTCCAGGGCAACTGGCCCCAGTGTTGGCTCTTCCCAGAGCCGCTTGAGCTGACTCAGTAAAATTGGAGAAGGAACAACCCCGGCCCCCGCCTTCCCACCCCGGCTGATCCTCCTGGCTGCCAATCCAAGCACTCGCCTCCATTAGTAAGCTCTCTCCTAAATTTAGGTCAACCCGCAGTAGCAACGTCACGCTCCCCCTGCCAAGGAGTGTGCTACAGGCTTCCCCAGACATTGAATGAGTGAGTGCTGACGACAGTGGACAGCATCTGTTCTTGTGCTGGTGTCACTTTGTGACTCAGCCAGACTCAGAGAGGACAGCTTTCCCACAGGACACTCTGCAGGGACACATGCCCGAGTCAGCAGGTGTCAGCCACAGGCCGGTTCTGCCAAATGGCAATTTATAGGAAGGTGTAGAGTAGGGTCCTGTGTCTGTTGAACCCCCGAGCAAGGGACAGACATTGTGGTGGAGAAGCACCAAGTCCAGGTGGGGTAACTGCCCTCCTGTAGCTATGTTACCAGGTTTAGGTCATTGTTATTAAAGATACATTTTTATTGATGGGCCTGGCGCGATAGTGTAACAGTTCAAGTTCTTGCCTTGAATGCCCCGGGATCCCATATGGGTGCCAGTTCTAATCCCAGCAGCCCCTCTTTTCATCTAGCTCCCTCCCTTTGGCCTGGGAAAGCAGTTGAGGATGGCCCAAAGCCTTGGGACCTTGCACCCGAGTGGGAGACCCAGAAGAAGTTCCTGGCTCCTGGCTTCAGATTGGCTCAGTTCCCACCGTTGCAGCCATTAGGGGAGTGAATCAATGGATGGAAGATCTTCCACTCTGTCTCTTCTCCTCCTCTCTGTATATCTGCCTCTTCGACAAAAATAAAATTTTTTAAAGATTTTTTTATTGAAAAGGCAGATATACTGATTCATTCCCCAAATGAATGCAAAGGATGCAGCTGAGCCAGAAGCTTCTCCCAGGTCTCCCATACAGGTATAGGGTACTATATTTGGTTCATCTTCTGCTGAATACCCAGGCCACATGACGGGAGCTGGGTAGGAAGTGGAGCTGCTGGGACATGAACCCATGCCTATACAGGATGTTGGTGCTTGTTGGTGGAGGATTAGCCACTTGAGCCATCACACTGCCCTGTTACCAGGCCTGTAACTCAAGATGTCTGGTTTTTTTCTCTCTTTTAAGATTTATTGATTTTTTAAAAACATTTTTATTACAAAGTCAGACATGCAGAGAGGAGAGACAGGAAGATCTGTCCAATCATTCACTCCCCATGTGAGCGCAACGGCTGGTGCTGCGCTGATCCAAAGCCAGGAACCAGGAACTTCCCTCAAGTCTCAATGCAGGTGCAGGGTCCCAAGGCTTTGAGCTGTCCTTGATTGCTTTCCCAGGTCACAGCAGGGAGTTGAATGGGAAGTGGAGCTGCCAGGATTAGAATGGGCGCCCATATGGAATCCCGGCACATTCAAGACAAGGACTTTAGCCACTAGGCCACTGAGCTGGGCACAGGACTTATTGATTTTTATTGGGAAATCAGATATTCAGAGAGGAGGAGAGACAGGATCTTGTTTCTGCTATTTCACTCCCCAAGTGGCTGCAATGACTGGAGCTAACCCAGTCTGAAGCCAGGAGCCTAGAACTTCCTCCAGGTCTCCCAGATGGGTGCAGGGTCCTAAGGCCTTGGGCTGTGCTAGACTGCTTTCCCAGGCCAAAGCAGGGAGCTGGGTGGGAGGTGGAGCTGCTGGGATTAGAACCAGCGCCTATATAGGATCCTGTACATCCAAAGTGAGGAGTTCAGCTGCTAGACTACTGTGCTGGACCCTGCATCTTTTGTTTTTTTAAGATTTGTGTATTGATTTTTTTTTAACAGAAGCTGGTTGTTTTTTTTTTTTTTTTTTAAGATTTATTTATTGGAAAGTCAGATATACAGAGAGGAGAGACAGAGAGGAACATCTTCCGTCCGATGATTCACTCCCCAAGTGAGCGCAACGGCCGATGCTATGCCAACCCAAAGCCAGGATCCAGGAACTTCTTCCGGGTTTCCCACACAGGTGCAGGGTCCCAAAGCTTTGGGCCATCCTCGACTTCTTTCCCAGGCCACAAGCAGGGAGCTGGATGGGAAGCAGGGCTGCTGGGATTAGAACCAGTGCTTATATGGGATCCCGGGGCGTTCAAGGCAAGGACTTTAGCCACTAGATCACACCGCCAGGCCCTAGATTTGTGTATTGATTTGAACAAGAGAATGATAAAGAGGAAGAGACAGAGATCCATTTAATAGTTCACTTTGCAGATGGCCACAATAGCTGAATCTGGGCCAGGCCAACGCCCTGAGCCAGTAGCACCTACATCAGGATCTCCTACATGGAGGACAGGGTCCGCGTACTTGAGGCACTAACTGCTGTCTCAGGGTGCATGTGGGCAGGGAGCTAGGATTGGAAGTGGAGCCAGAACATGAACCCAAGCACTTGGATATGGGGGTAAAGCTGGCCCAGGTGGGTTCTTAACCACTGAACCAAATATCTGTCTTGAGATTTTTTTTTTTTTTTTAATATTTGTTTTAGGGCCTGGTGCCATGACCTAGTAGCTAAAATCCTTGCCTTGAACGCGCTGGGATCCCATATGGGCGCCGGTTCTAATACCAGCAGCCCTGCTTCCCATCCAGCTCCCTGCTTGTGGCCTGGGAAAGCAGTTGAGGACGGCCCAAAGCCTTGGGACCCTGCACCCGCGTGGGAGACCTGGATGAAGCTCCTGGCTCCTGGCTTTGAATCGATTCAGCTCCATCTGTTGCGGCTACTTAGGGAGTGAACCAGCTCTGTCTCTCCTTCACTTTCTAAATCTGACTTTCCGATAAAATTAATAAACCTTCATGGTGGAGATTTAGCCAATAGGTTTTCTTTCTCCAGGTCCTACACCTTGGACTGCTTGAGCCAAGAGTTCTGTTGTCTTTGTTGGTACTGAGGCCTTTAGACTTATCTGTGCTGTCAGCAGCACTAGGTCTCCAGCTGAGGCTTAGCCAGTCAGGAACTGGGCAGCCTGTGTCCCCGGCCCATCCCTGTCATGCATCTGTCAGTGTATCCAAGTATGTGTGATTCTGGGCCTCACAGTGAGGAGTACATCTCGAGTCCCCGCTGGGACCTGTGTACCCACATAGGAGTAGGTTTCCTAGATACTACGTGCCGTCTCGGGGGTGGGGGGAGCAGAGGTGCGGGGTGTTAATATGATAACTTGGAGTCTTTATTAACCAAGCTTGGTGATAATAGAGCACACCAAAACAGCACATCACAAGTCCATACGGCAATCTAACCAATCATAATCCAAACATAATCCCAAGAGGAACAAATGGTCATTATCTTTGAGTCCATCCATTAAGCTCAAGACCTATGTCCTAGCTTCCCCAACAAGTTATCCTAAGAGACGCGCAACGAATAACCTGGACACACCTACAAAGCTGCATTCACCTTTCCCTGGCTTCTCTGCCCACATTCCGCTACTGCTAGGCCTCACCTCTCCTGGAAATCCTGACACCACACAAACCAGAAACAACATTATTATATCCATTGTCCCATCTAAGCAGTACACAGGGACCATGCTCAGGGGATTACCTGTCCTGGGTCAGCCAAGTGTCAAGGTGCCAGAGTAATGGAAGCACCTGACCAGAAAGAGCGAGAGCCCCCGCTTCATGGTCCTTTTCTTTTTTAAAGATTTATTTATTCTTATTGGAAAGTCAGATATACATAGAGGAGGAGAGACAGGAAGATCCTCCATCCGATGATTCACTCCCCTAGTGACCACAACGGCCGGTGCTATGCCAATCCGAAGCCAGGAGCCAAGAACCTCCTCCGGGTCTCCCATGCAGGTGCAGGGTCCCAAGGCTTTGGACCATTCTTGACTGCTTTCCCAGGCCACAAGCAGGGAGCTAGATGGGAAGCAGGACAGCTGGGATTAGAACCAACGCCCATATGGGATCCCGGGCATTCAAGGTAAGGACTTTAACCATTACGCTATTATGCCGGGCCCTTCCTAAAGATTCAAAAAAAATTTATTCGAGAGGCAGCAACACAGAGTTCCTATTCACTTTTCAATGCCCAGATGTCTGCAACGGCCAGGGTGGAAGCCAGAGCTGGGAGCTCAGTGCAGGTCTCCACATGGGTAGAAGGAAGTTAACCACCCAGGCCCTCACCGCTGCCTCTCGGGCCTGAATTAGCCGGAAGCTGAAGCACAGTCACAAATCCTACCCGGGACCTGAGTGCGGGACATGGACATGAGCACCTCAACTGGTGGCTTTGCCACTAGCTCAATACCTGACCTCAAGTCACTTTTTCAAAGGGAATTGGGAACACAGCTGAAATGACATCGTCCAGTGGGTAATTGCAGAGGCACCTACAAGGTCAGGGATTCTAGGAGAAAAGCATAGATCCTCTCAGATTAGTCAGCAGCGCTCCTTCCTGCTAGGAGGCACTTCCTTGGTTCAAGTCCACAGCAGAAGGGGCCCACACTGTGGCCCAGTGAGTAAAACTCCACCCTCATCACCACAGGCATCCCTCACGAGCACAGGGTGAAGATGCAGCAGCTCTACCTCTGCTCCAACTCCCTACTGACTGCTACTCGACTGCTTTCCCAGGCCACAACCAGGGAGCTGGACAGGAAGTGGAGCTGCCGGGATTAGAACCAGTGCTCACATGGTACCCTGGGCGTTCAGGGTGAGGAATTGAGAGCCACTAGGCCATAATGCCAGACCCTTCATGAGCCTTTTAAAGGGGCTTGTGAGGGGAGTGGTTACACAACAATGCAATAACATCCCCTCTCAGTTGACAGGTGCGTTACAGGTGGGCAGGAGCGAATACCTAAGTCTGGTGGGCTAAGGAGCTGATTAGTGTTCATTGGAACTGGGTCTTGTAGCTAAAAACACCTAGACGGATTGGACTTATCTGTATCCAATATCCTAGCTAAATTAGGGCGTGGGGGAGTGGTTGAGGATGGAATTAACATTCTATGGCTGTTAGGACCCACCTTCAGGACAGAGGGTAGGGTACACAGCCAAATTTTGTTTGCCCAATGTCAATGGGTGCTGGCTATCTCTGGCTGCACCCCATAACAGACAGGCTGGGTTCCGGTACCTGCACAGGAGTTGTTAAGCAAACCCCATCCACTAACCTCTCTGTGTCTTTGGCCACTGAAATCTGATCCCTGTTCCCACACTGCACCGGCTTTCATCTGAGCGCCTTGGTCTTCTGGTTGGCTGTGAGGTGAGGACTTTAGCCACTAGGCTATGGCGCCAAGCCGGTACTTATGTTTTTTTTAAGGAATGGGAACCAGCAGATGGAAATGTCCTTGTCCGTCAATCTGCCTTTCAAATGAAAAAACAAACCAATGCTTGTTGCATTTCAGCAGCTATTGGTCGACTGATGAAGTGCTAAGCTGTAATTATCAGACAGCCTGGAGGGGACCCCACTACC